CACCTTTGTTTTCGGTGTGGTCAATCTGACCACCGAGCAGGGAGTTGCTCTGAAAAGCCGCAATGCGTTCTGTGTGCTGCGGCTGGCCAAAGAGCAAACCATCTACTGGGGGTAACGCGTGTTCGGCCCCCAGCAAAAGATGCCCAGAAGGACGTGGACCGCGAACAAAACGGCCACTGGTGCCCCACCGATCGGGGACACAGAGCAAATGGAGATAACACCTGGTTCATAGATGGCCCTCCAAATCCTACAGGCGAACATCAACCACTGCGCCAAAGCTCAGGATCTGTTACTCCAGAGCATGGCGCAGTGGTTAATCAATATCACAATAGTATCGGAGCCGTATATGATCCCCCCAGAGGGAAAACTGGTTTGGCGACCGCAACGGTTTAGTTGCGATTGCCGTTTCGTTGCCTGAAGGCTTGCCTCAAGCCTCGCTAAAAGGAAACGGCTGTGTCGCTGTTAAACTAGAAAAAGTCGTTGTAATTGGAGCTTATTTTTCGCCGAACCGGAGTATTACAGAGTTCGAGGCCTTTCTGGCAGAAATGGGCTCCCTGGTGGAATGGGCTCGACCATTAAATGTTATTGTTGCAGGGGATCTCAACGCGAAGTCGTCTATGTGGAACTCTCCGGTAACCGAAGCCCGTGGCGATGCGGTGGTTGATTGGATCGCCACTCACAACTTGGTGATATTGAATCGAGGATCGGAACGCACATGCGTGCGAATGCAGGGCAGTTCTATCGTCGATGTAACTTTTGCATCCCCGGAACTAGCAAATCGCGTCTCCAACTGGCGTGTACTTACAGAGGTTGAAACGCTTTCGGACCATAGGTACATTCGGTGCCTGGTGAGTCCCCATCAACAGCTACCACCAGCAACTGGTAGATCAAATCAGCCTCCACCGGAAATAGGGCCAAAATGGTCCCGTAAAAAACTGGACTTTGACTCCCTGTCTTTGGCATCTTTGACAGAGGCGTGGTGCCCTAAGCCAAATACTATCTTAGCAGATAGAGAGGTGCAATGGTTCGGAGAGGCTTTGCGACGTATTAGCGACGCTGCAATGCCAAGGATCCGCCCTATTCCGCCCCGCCGACAAATGTACTGGTGGTCGCCTGAACTCACCCAGCTACGGACGGCTTGTGTAGTTGCCCGACGTCACTACACCCGATTACGTCGAAGACGCCTTGCTCCACACGATCCGGAAGAAGAAAGAAGGTGCTACGGCGAATACCAAGCAGCAAAATTAACTTTGCGCATTGCAATTGGAGAGGCCAAAGAGAAAGCTTGGGAAGATCTTTTACAAACTTTAGAGCTAGACCCATGGGGGCGGCCATATAGGCTAGTGATGACCAAGCTGCGCCCCTGGCTTCCGCCACTCACTACCACTCTAGAACCGGTGTTCCTGGATACGGTAGTCTCCGCACTATTCCCGGCTAACAGTTCGCATCCAACATCTCGCGACGACCTCCACTATGATGAGGAAGTCCCAGAAGTGACGCCTGAGGAACTCTCTGTTGCAATACTTAAGCTTCAGAGCAAAAAGACAGCCCCCGGACCAGATGGTGTTCACGGGAAGGTCTGGGTCCATGTCCTCAATAACGGGCTGGAAGAGAGGTTTCGGGAGTTGCTAACCCATATTTTAAAGAACGGCCACTTTCCGAGTAGCTGGAAGACGGGAAAACTTGTATTATTAAAGAAAGAGGGTAAATCACCTGAGTCCCCGTCGGCCTATAGGCCAATTGTTTTATTAAATGAAGCAGGCAAGTTATTCGAGCGAGTGCTAGCATCCCGCATAGTAAAACACCTTACAACGGACGGGCCGGATTTGGCCGATACCCAATTCGGTTTCCGGCGCGCCCGGTCTACCATCGACGCCGTTGCAAGGCTAAGAGACGTTTGCGAGGAGACACTCGCGCAAGGAGGGGTGGTGCTGGCGGTGTCACTAGACATAGCAAACGCTTTTAACACGATTCCCTGGAATACCATTATAGACGGCTTAATCTTCCATGACGTGCCAGTATACCTCCGGCGCATGATAAGATCATACCTTTCGGCCCGTACCGTCATCTACCCGGGTCGGGGAGGTTGGAAGGAACACAGGGTTGAGTGTGGTGTTCCACAAGGGTCTGTTCTAGGCCCACTCCTATGGAATATCGGATATAACTGCGTCCTTCGTGGCTCACATCTGCAAGGCGTCAGCCTAATATGTTATGCCGACGACACACTTATCACTGCAAAAGGTCGTACATACAGAGAAGCTTGCATCCTCGCAACGGCGGGGGTGGCACAGGTTGTGGCGCAAATAAGGCGCATTGGCCTCCAAGTCGCCCTCGAGAAATCTGGGGCGGTCTGTTTCCACGGTCCAAGACGAGCTCCTCCTGACGGTACACATTTGGTCGTATGTGGTGTGCCCATAAGAGTAAGCCCCACTTTAAAGTATCTCGGGCTTGTCCTCGATTCTCGATGGACTTTTAAGGATCACTTCTCGGCACTTGCCCCGAAGCTCGCTACCACGGCTATGGCACTCTGCCGGTTAATGCCAAATCTTGGTGGGCCGAGTGCGGGGTGTCGCCGGTTATTTGCAGGTGTGGTCCGGGCGAAGGTCCTCTACGGATGCCCCATTTGGGCCGATTGTCTATTCGCTCAAAACAGGGCGATTCTAAGACAGTCGCAACGGGCGATGGCCATAAGGGTGGCAAGGGCGTACCGCACCGTCTCTTGCGAGGCAGCGTGTGTTATTGCAGGAACTGCCCCCTGGCACCTCGAAGCGGCTGCCCTAGCCAAGATCTATTGGCATAGGGCAGATAGTAGAAGTAGGGGTTTCGACCCCCTTCCTGAGCACATAAACAGCTGGAGACGGGAAGCCCAAGTGACCGTCCTTCAGAAATGGATGGATGAGTTACAAGATCACAGGGCAGGAGTCTGGACAATTACATCTATACGTCCAGTGCTCAACTTGTGGGTAAATAGAAGATGGGGGCACTCTCGTACCGACTCGTTCAGGTCCTCACAGGCCATGGATGTTTCGGTGGATACCTTCACAGGGTTGCCAGGAGGGAGGCATCCCCCATTTGTCACGAGTGTGGTTTCGCAGACGACACAGCGCAACACACTTTAGAGGTTTGTCCGGCGTGGAGCTCTGAACGCAGCCTATTAACCGCCACCTTCGGATTGGACCTGTCGCTTCCAGTCATAGTTAAAGCTATGATGGAGGCTGACAGTGACGGCCCATGGAACACTTTCAAAGCGTTCTGTGAAGCCGTCATTACACTTAAAGAGAATGCGGAGAGGGTTCGGGAGTGTAACCCAGACGCCGACCCTCAACGCAAAAAAAGGCCTGGAAGGAGACGTCGCGATTACGCACGTACTCCATTGGGACCTTAGGACAGGATTGGGCAACGCAGAATATGTGCTCACACAGCAGACGCTCATGACGGAGGCACGGATTAAGGGAAACTGTTACCGCGCCTACCGTCCATAGCGAACAGATGGGGCTGTTGGGTTTTAGTGGGTAGGTGTCCATTGCACCATACGGACTGACTCCCACACTCCCTGCGCCACTTTTAAATCGTTGCCCCGGCGCGGGGGTCAGTAAATTGATTTCCCAACAATAAAAAAAAAAAAAAAAAAAGGTTAGTAGGTATATTAATATTTTTTTTAAATAACTTTTTCTGGCGCGTGAAAATGGTTGGGGGTTATTATTATAAAACTTAAAAGTTCAAAAATTTTGAAATAATCGATAGATTATATTAAAAAAGGTTACTATTTGTATCTAATTTTATATTTTTTTGCTGATCTCATTATGTCGTACAACTTAAATAATAAGATGATTATGACCAATAAAATGCTGTTTTATTTAGAAAAACTGCTGTAAGTAATATACAAATAGAAGCTATACATGAAAAAAAAGAGTTAATAGGTATAATGTGCATTAGTTTCATTAGCTGTGCATTGGTAAAAAAGCTTTGCTTTAAGATTAATAGCCGTACGCCGCGAACATAAATTGTAGTTTATTTAGTAATATTTTGAGTTGAGTATTTTGCTGTGCAATCAGTAATTTTGATGGGAATTCGGATTATTATAGCATCCAAAAGGATTTTTTTTTGATTTGCGTTTAAATACTACCCGATTTTTATTATGTGATTAAATAATATGTTTGTTATGGTCACACTAACTGGCTGACATTTATAGTTTCAGTATGTAGTTGTTTTTTTTTTATGGCTCTGGCACGATTTGTGCATTAGCCAGCGTCAAGTATAGGATTTTTTATAATTCGTGCTTGTCTTTTAGAAATTCGACAGTATCCTCTATGAACGGTTTAAGCACTCGCCCGGTACCGCACAACCCTCCCAAAGGCCGAGAACAAATTTAAATTAAATTAAAACTTGCCCTCGAACCGGGAATCGAACCCGGTACCCCTCACCTAGCTGCCACTTAATAAGACCGCTAGGCTATGAGGCCCCCAGTATATCGTTCTTATTGAAACACATATTTGAATGTCGAACGTCAAGGCGATTTAAAATAGTGTACTTTTAACACAGAATATCAAAATATTTAATTATTTCTGTTTATTGCATTATGTTTTATGATTCATATTTTTAACAATTATGCAACAGTTACATGGACTGTTTCAAATCTATGGTAAAATAAAATACAATAATATTGTCATAATTTTTTTAGCATAATTTGTACAATATGACATTGTAATCTTACAGTTAACACACATATTATAAAACAAAACACACAATATACAACGCACTTGCGATGCGAAAGTGAGTGTCCATGGGCGGCGGTATCACTTAACAACAGATGAGCCTCCTGCCCATTTGCCGCTTATTACATAAAAAAAGTCCCATACAATTTTTGACATAAGTTCTATCAGCGTCCAAGATTTTAAGTTATAGAAGAGCACAGAGAAGACGTAACATTGCAGTTTTAGTTGATTGAAAAGAAAACTCCCTTTAAATTAAATTTTTTATTCAAGCTAATAAAGGCGAAATTATAATTTAATATCAGGCAAACTATAATCAACTGTTTCATCATGATCAAGCGACATTTCAAACGCGTCCCCTTCAACCAATTTATCAAAGAAGTAACTTGTGTTTCGCGATTTTCGGGGGCTATTTTTTGGGGTCGAACAGTTAATATCCATTCTCTTCTGAAATACCAACTTAACGAGGTTATTATTAACTTTCGCTGTCGTAAAACTAGGCGCTTTCGATACTATATCTTCAACTATTCCAGATAAATCACTTTCAAAATCTGTATCAAGAATATGTATTAAATTTTCTTTATTGTCAAAATTGTCTTTTGCATCAAAAACTCCTTTTTTTACTACGTCAGCTGCAGATAGATCAACTTCTTTATTTTTTGCCTTCATCCCGTAGGTGTGACCTTTTTCGAAATTGTTGGCTTTAGAGTCTGTTGACAGTATATCATAAATTGCAGATTCATCATGTTCTATATTGCTTAGATCATTTATTAATTTTCTGTTTCTGTTTTCGTAGTCAATTTCATTTGCTTCATTAACTAATCTTGATGTAGAACCAAGACCAAGTAGCGTGGATAGATCGTGTATATTTCCTATATTATTTATTGAACCCCTGTGTCTTTCGTAATTTCTCGACTCTATATTTGCAGATTGATCCCTTTGTACACTTTTTCTTCCTTTATCAAGTCTTTTTCTGGACTCGTTTCGTGATAATGAGTTCAAACTGGACTTTCGTTTCTTTAGATAGTTCTCGATTGTGCCTTTAGCATTTCCTTTAATTTTTCGTTTTAACTTATTGACACTGACACTTAAGTTTAAGCTTTTAGATAAACTTAGATTTTTCATGGAATTATTTAAGTTTGATATTTTTTGTTTACGGGTGTACTTTCGTTTTGGTTTATCTGTTTTTGGATCTGCTGTTTTCTTTTCTCTTGTCTTCTTTACTTTTGGTGGTTTCTTGATGGATTCTTCGTAAGCTTCAACTAATTCTGGATAAAACTCCTTCATCAAGTCTTGCCTTTCAACCGTCATCCATATATCTGCTATTTCTTCACCATCTAGAACAAAATTGAAACTGCTTGTTTAGTATAATTAATTAATTATCTATAAATCTACTTAGTCTCGACTTAAATTGACAATGTCGATAATCGTTCTGAAATAGCTTTTAACGGGTCAATAAAATAATATATTCGCGACGCTCATATTTGGACATTTTCATTTGATTTCGGTGAAAAATTCAGTACCTAAAGAAAAAAAAATTCAGCTAGTTAAAATTATGTATTAAATAAATCGTTTAATTTGTTATTAAACTCCAACTATGCATGAAATTATCTTTCTACCTCGTAGAGCATATCTTAGACCCAAATATCGAAGTGTCAGACACAGAAGCCTGATCGTTATCAAATAAATGGATGCGATCTGAAGCCAAGACCCATAAAGGGTTGCACCACAGATTTATTTTTATTCATTCATAAAACTAAGCGACTTGGCGCTAACACATGCTAAGAGGACAATCAATATGAAAATATGTTATAGAAAGGATATACAGGTGTGAAAATGACATGAAAACTTAAGAAGGTTCCAGACCAGATCCATGCGATTTCCTCAACAGTAGCCCGCGATATCGCAGCACACAACTCCTGAGGGGATTCTTTGTATTGAAGTGAAGGTTCTTAGATTAGGGTTGCCTGGAAGAAATCGCTTGTTAGCGATAAGGCCGCCCGTTGCCTTATAACTTAAGTAACCTGTTTTTTTATTTCTGTTATGTGTATGTTTTTGATTAAGGATTACCTTAAACCTTAAAGTATAAACAAATAAATAAATAAATCGTTAAACTATCCAGAAATAAACTCGCAAGTCACATAGAAATTACACTAGCGAAATTGGATTTCGAATCTACAGAGGCATTACTACAAATCTTGGTATGACTTTGAGGTTTCATAAACTAACACACACAGTGCACGATCATAACAACTTTCAGCTACACTCTCAAATACATGCGCATACGCACCCATTCACACACTCACACTTAATTTGCAACACAAAATTTTTGAAGTGAAACTTCTTTATCGAGGTTGGAAAAAAAATTTAGTGTAACATTTTTTCGTTACGCGTCACATTTTTCGGTTACGCGTCACATTTTTCGGTTACGCGCCATGTTGCTTTTTGAAGTCAAACTTCATTATCGGCATTGGAATGAAACTTCTTTATCGACGTATGGGAGAAATTTTGTAGCAAATCGTCACGTTTTTCAATGATAGTAATAATTCTATTACAATTAATGAAATTCTATAATAATCTTCGTAGTAATAAGGTAAAATGAAATATTTGTATGAATACACAAATGACATAGACATGAATTCATGTCTATGATAATAAAAGCCTTTTGTTAAACTTTATCTAATTTAACGAATTTCTGTAAAGTTGCATATAGTAGATCATTTTTCGAAAAACAAGATCATAAAGAAGTTTCACTTCTTACGTGTGTACACGAACAATTTTTTTTTTTTCCTGTTTTAAACATGTACCACGTAATAATTGTTTTCTACCCACAACACAGGGCCTCCCTAGTATGGGGACTAGCGATATATGAAATCCGTCACAACTTTTTTGTCATAAATAATGTTTTTATTATTTTATATAACAAAGCGAATGTAAGCATAATAATAGTAAATAGGACATACTATATTATCGAGATTACCTTTAATTTGTTCATCGGGAATCAAAGCCTCATATTGCCCGCTTATATCACTCCATACAACTTCGTAACTTGGTACTCCTGTCAAAAATTTGTTTTATCACTTGAAGTTTTAAATTGTAATCCAGTACATACCAACATATCGTCACCATAGAATGATAACCTCGTGTGTCAAAAAAACATTTATTTTTTTATTCTAAGGGTCTGTTTCACAATGTACGGATAAGTTCTACATAAGTTCCAAATTAGCTATTTATTACTTATTGGTAGGATAAACACTATTGTTGCGTATCACGACTGTCAGATAGCGCTATTCGTGACATAAAGTCCGTCATAAGTTATGAGTCCGATGAAGTGTCAAATAGCCCAATTTATCTTCCAAATAATTTATGTGTTGCATAGCTATTTGGTACTTTATCCATACATTGTGAAACAGACCCTGAGACTCTTGTCATTTAACTGGCATAATCATGACGTTATTAATAAATAATTCCTTTTAACCATCTAAAACTATGGACGAAAACAATAATTTTTTAACGAACATTGACGAAATGAAATTTTTCTTTTCCTATAATGTTTGGGTCTCCGGACATACGAGGTTATCATTCTAAAACGACGATTGCTAACCCATAGAGACTGTTCAACTTAAAAAAACATATTTTTTTTTTAGGATTTACCGTGAATTTTTTCCAATGTTTCTCTCCAAAATCTTCCTTAGAGTTCAAGGAATAAAAAAAATACTCTATAAATTTTTTTTTTTAAAGACAATTCACACCAATTGACCTAGTCCCATGCTAAGCTGGTGAAGCTTGTGTTATTGGTACTAGGCAACGGATATACATACATATTATAGATAGATAGACATATAAATACATATTTAAACACCCAAGACCTTATGCTCATCACATCGATGTTTGTCTCAGCCGGGGATCGAACCCGGGACCCATGGTTTCGCAGTCAGGGGTACTAACGACACAGGGGGTCAAACAACATATTTAGCTATTACATCCTAAAGTCCCCCGTTTTGATTATTCTTACCTCTGGGATTCCTTTTCTTCTTTATTTTGACAGGTTGAATAGTTTTACAAGGTACACAAGTTTGTAGATGCCATTTTGTGAGCAAAGGTAGAAATTTCTCCACACAGTACCGCTCCGTCCAATCCAATTTCTTAGCCATTATTTTCTATAAAGAGTATTTATTTGTATAATTAAAACAATTAATATTAAAACTACTGAACAGATTTTGATAAAACTGTTTTTAAGGAATACCGTTTAAATCATCACTTATGAAATATAACACTTGAAAGTCAAAATACTTGAATAAATTCCAGCAATACAATAATTTCAATAAAGAAGGCACTAGAGAGAAAGGAGTACTGCTCCTCTGTCTTCCTAGACGTGCAGCAGGCGTTTGATAGAGTATGGCACAAAGGTCTCTTGTATAAAGTAAAAACTCTTTTACCCTGTACATTCTTCCCCATCTTAAAATCTTATCTAACAGAAAGAATATTTCAAGTAAGAGAAGAAGATTGTACATCGCCATTTCACTCAATCAAAGCTGGTGTACCGCAGGGGTCTGTCCTGGGCCCAGTCTTATATACCATTTACACATGTGATTTACCACAAAGCGAACACGTCACATTAGCCACATTCGCAGACGATACTGCTGTACTGGCATGTAGTAATAGCCCAATAGAAGCTTCAGACTTCCTACAGACTGGATTGCAAGAAATTGAAACCTGGCTTTCGAAGTGGAGGATAAAAACTAGTGTGACAAAATCTGTTCACGTAACCTTCACTCTCCGTAGAGGAGACTGTCCGCCAGTAACTCTGTGCAATCAACAACTTCCGCAAGAAAACTGTGTAAAATACTTGGGAATACACCTTGATAGGAGACTCGTATGGAAACAACACATACAGAAGAAGAGAGAAGAAATCAACCTGAAATATAGAGGACTCTACTGGCTACTTGGCAGAAATTCCAAACTGTCAGTAGATAATAAGCTACTCATCTACGAAATGCTCTTGAAACCAATTTGGACATACGGGATTCAACTATGGGGTTCGGCGTGTGACTCTAATATAAATATCATACAAAGGGTTCAAAATTACATCTTGAAACAAATATCCAACTGTCCGTGGTTTATAAAAACATCGGAGATTCATGAGCACCTCAAAATCAGGACTGTCAAAGAGGAGATCAAGACCTGGAGTATAAAATACAGAAAAAGGCTAGAAATGCATCCTAATAAGCTTGCCACGCAACTAACCATAGAGGACCTAATAAATAGGCTTAAAAGGCGACAAATCCTAAGTCTTGATAGACACGGGTGAAATAGAGGAGCAGTCTCGATGAAGATTTTGCTCTGAACGCCTAACAGCTCTCAACACATCTGCTCATAGTCTAACTGACTGATTGCAAGATAAAGACTTAAAAAAAAAAAAAAATTCCAGCAATACACATAAAATACATTTTTTTTTAATCGGTTAAAAAGTTTACTTTATTGGCATAGTACGTTACGAAACTTTCAAATTATAGTAGTAATGCCTATATGAGATTTGATTTGATTTGAGACCCGCAACTTTTTAGCACAAATGAGTTCAGCACATTTCGGAAGCAAAACGCATAAAAGGCCAGCAACGCATTTGCAAAACTGGCACTGTGTCCATAGGCGGGTACCACTTAACATTAGATGAGCCTACTTTTGTTCTATAAAATACCTTAAAAATAAAATGTCATAACTCATAACTTTTTAAAAACAAACCAGTACAGTCTTTCACGACCTTAGTCATCTGATTTCGTGATCATCTCTAAAGCGGTCAGATTTCTGAGAATCACCGATTTTTGGGTGAAAGGCATGCCGGTTTCCTCACGATGTTTTCCATCACGAGCAAGTGTTGCACACATAGCAAGTGCACAGCCGAGTTTCGTATAGTAAAAAAGTAAAAAAAAACATTTAATCATGTAGGTAACATAATGTACACTTATGACTCGTCACTAAAGAAATACATATTAATGCTTCTAATTTTACATTTACTGCCAGTTCTCAAATCAAGGGCGTAGAACGGAAGAGAAGAACTGGCAATAAACTCTCCGCCACTCTTTTTAACGGCCATTTTTTTACACAACGTTTGTTAGGAGCTGCAACCATTACACTATGTTCCACATGACATATCAAGTAATTAATAATAACATAAATTTAAAAAAAAAACGCCTACTGCAAAATTATCAAAATTCTCAATACAAATACCGCGAATTGAATTAAACTGGGTTGCGGTATGGTGCCAAGGATTATATCCGATGTTGCATTGAGAAATTCCTTCATAACTTTTGGCTCTGGAAATGGCATCCCGCACGATAGAGCCCGATCGCGCAACGACAATTCACGTTTTGATTCCAACACTTTTGACCTGAAATAGAATTTGGAATTCACTAAACGTTTTTGTTAGAAACAAACTTTAAAAGAATAGTCATTGTTAAATGCCTATCTCGTTAATCCGCTGTCTACTGGTAAATTTTTTTCTGCTTAGGGAGCGTTCAATTATTATGTAACAAATTTGGGGGGTCCCTCTTGTAAAACGTTAAGATGCGGCGCGGGGATTGAATTAAGCGTTATTGTTAATATTATTTGACTTTCTAGTACATAATAGTTACTTTACGATGGGGTACAGAAAAACGTTACAGCGCGTTACATGGGGGGGTGTCAAGACGTAATACTTGAACACTTCCTTAACAATACACGTTACACTTGTATTCTACAAATTTCTTTTTTATTTTTCCATAAGGTCCGCCATTAGACAGATTACATACTTATGTCCTAAATCGTTGCAGCTACGATGCGTATTACACATGGGGCAGCCATTTTTAAGATGCGTACGTCCAACGTGCCCGCACTTGTCACAACGTCCCGGCTGTGAGGCCCAACGTGCGCGCTCTTCGTACTCTTTTGTATCGGTGACCCATGACAAAAGCCTTGAACGGATAATTAATTATTAATAAAATACTTAATAACCAAACACAAAAAATGCGGTTATATATTTTTTAGAAGAAAGAAAAATGCGTAAATCATAGACAATCTTTGCTAATTATTAAACTTAATAATTAAGTAGAATCATTATTAAAAAAACTAGCGTTTACGACACACGTCTTAAATACAAGAAAAAATATCTAATAATGCAAATAATTCTCGACTCGGTTTTTTTTATAGAACAGGGGGCCTCAGGACCTCCTCCTCCTCAGGGACTTTCAATGCCAGAGGGCTCGCGAGTGCGTTGCCGGCCTTTTAAGAATTGGTACCTCTGTTTAAACTGCACCTAATCGATGTTTCCAGTTCGCGTTCGGTTCTCGTAGCATCCACACGCACTTTAAGTTGTTCTCGAACCGGTTCATATTGTTAGTGATGTGACACTGTCGATAAAATGGACAAATTCGTCACACGATCATCTTCAAATCCAGATCTGGCTAGTAATACCGCCAAAAGACCTGGGGATGATTTAAACCAGTGGAATTATCCAAAGAGGATTGCGGTTCCCAAGCGTATACCGAGAGACGCCACCACCTCAACAAGCAACCGCTACAGCAATCTCCCAGTGGATAAGAACCATGATATCTCAGAGCCTTTTAAAAAGGCCTCTAAAAAGAAGAAGACTGGACGTGTCCCACCAATCGTTATCGAACTACGTGAAGACTGGACACACCAGAACCTAAAGGACGTAATTGAGAAGTACAACAAAAGCTACCATCTTGAATACAAAGGTAGTAATCGAGTCAAAATACAATGTTACTCATCTGAGAGCCATCAACTCGTCAAAACTGGACTCCTCAATGAAAATGTGTCATTTCATACGTTCACCAGGAAGGATGAAAAAATGCCTAAAGTGGTTGTCAAAGGTCTTCCAACGAACGTGATCGATTGCCTACCAGCGGAACTGGAGTCCCTTGGCTTTGCTGGCGCCACTGCCACCCAAGTTAAGCTGAGCAAGCCAGTTCAATGCCCCCCGGTAATAATACAACTTCCCACAGGGACTGATATGGCAAAGTTCAAGCAAATAAAGTACCTGGCTAACTGCGTTGTTGTGATCGAGCGCTACAAAACTAGTAGCAATAACTGCACCCAGTGCTACCGATGCCAGGGTTTCGGTCATGCTTCCCGAAACTGTAATAGACCCGCTAGATGTGTCAAATGCTCTCTGGAGCATCCAACTTCACAGTGCCCCAAAAAGGGCTTCATAGAAACTGTTCGTTGCTGCAATTGTGGGCAAGATCACGCAGCAAATTACTCGCTGTGCAAGGAGCGGGTTAAGTACCTTGAACGTATCAAGACCAAGAGAGATTCGTTTCGCAACGCCATCGTGAAATCAACCCACGCGGCTACGAAGCAAAGCGTGCCCCTCCAAATGTTTCCCGTTCAGGCAGCAGTGGCTCCAAAGTGCCATGATTCTCAACCATTGCCAACGCGTGTACCTCTAAGGACTGCCCCACCGAGTGAGGACCGCACTAACACCCGCCAAGACACGACGACGAGTGAAATGCTTCAAATTCTTTCAACTATCAAAACCCTCAAGAAGGACTTCATAAAATGTGATACTTTCATGGACAAAGTAATCTTAATTCTGTCTCACCTTGGTCACTATGTTTAACCTCAATGAACTACGTGTATTTTATTGGAATGCCGATGGTATTCACAAAAAGCAGCAGGAACTAGCTGAACTGGCGGTAAGAGATCTCAACGTTGACATCATCGCACTCAACGAAACTAGATTAACAAAGCGGCTTACCCTTCAAATTCCAGGCTTTTCCTGCTATCGACTCGATGGCCGTGCCGATGGCTCTGGTCAGGGTGTTGCTATCTTGGTTAGGGCTGATTTAGAACACTATCTTGTTTTAACCCCGCCAACCCTTAACTTAGAGGCCATAGGAATATCCCTTTATTTTAACCACGGCAAAATTACCATTTATTCCGCTTACCAGTCACCCAATATGCCCTTGCTCTCTAGTGACTTAAACGCCCTTTTTCGTCAAATAATAAGATACTAATTATGGGTGATCTCAATGCTAGGCACCCCTATTGGTCACCTGGTCCAACTAACACCCATGGTAATACAATCTACGAGCTCATGCTCGACGATGAAATGATTGTCCATGCCCCTAGTGAGCCTACCCTAGTCCATTACAATGAAAACAGGCTAGCGACCAACCCCGATTTGTTACTCACTAAAAACATCTATACCGTTGACTCAATTGAGACCATCTATGCACTTTCCTCCAACCATCTCCCAGTATTTGTACGTCTCGCTATTAAAGCGCGTCGCAAGCCCATTCTTAAGCTAAATTACGCAAAGGCTGACTGGAATGGTTACCGCTCATATTTAAATAAAAATATATCTTTACACAAAGCGAACTTTAAATCTCCCGATGATATTGACTCCGCCATCTCAAACCTTCAAAGCTCTATAATTTCTGCTAAAAACGTCAATATCCCGGTTACAACCCTTAAACCTTGGGAGACCTCACTGCCAAGAAGTATTAAAAGAAAAATAAGAAATAAAAATCGCTTACGACGCTATTCTGCTAAAGAAACGAATGCTGTAACCCGTAAACTTATAAATCTTGAAGTGAAATACCTTCAACAAGATATTAATGCTGCATTAATAAACCACCGTGACAACCTGTGGGATCGTAAACTTAGAAAAGTTGACAATCCGTGTGCCGATTTATGGCGCATTGCCAAAGGGCTGAAATCAACTTCTCTCCCATCTTTAGCCCCTCTCAAAACTAAAGATGGTTCCACAACTTTAAATGCTAAGGAACAGTGTGAAGTTTTAGCTAATACCTTTTCTCACAACATGTTGCTCACCCAAAACTGGATTAGTGACGAGCAGTCCGCTGTCGATGCCTCCTGGTACTCCCTAGACAGCCTTCAGCAAGACGGTTATCAAATTCAACTGGTTAAACCAGCTGAAGTAGCCAATTTTATATCTTCACTCAAAACTCGTAAAGCAGCTGGACCGGATGAAATCTCGAATCATCTAATCAAACGACTACCCCAAAAATGTATTGTGTTGCTAACAAAATTATTTAATGCCTGCTTACTGACTACATATTTCCCTGAGGCTTGGAAAATAGCAAAAGTCATAGCTATACACAAGCCGGGCAAAGACCCATCTGATCCTGTAGGTTATCGCCCAATTAGCCTCTTACCCTGCCTAGGCAAACTTTTCGAAAAGATTTTATGCAACCGACTTCGCAGAGCTACCGAACACATAATAATTGATGAGCAGTTTGGCTTCCGTGAAGCTCATTCATCTACCCAACAGCTCGCTAGAGTAGCTGAGACTGTGTCTCATGGACTCAATTTGCGTGAATCTACAGGCATGTTCCTCCTAGATATTGAGAAAGCCTTTGACACAGTCTGGCACCAAGCCCTTATCCACAAACTGCTAAAAATTGGCGTACCTATAGCAATAATTAAAATAATGAAATCGTACTTAACCCATAGATCTTTCAAGGTGCACATAAATAGTACACTCTCTTCACCTAAACTTGTCCCAGCCGGAGTCCCCCAAGGTTCAATTCTTGGCCCCCAGCTATTTTTACTATACCTTAACGATATACCCATTCAAACACGCACTAATCTCGCCTGTTTTGCCGATGATACGGCATCCTTTACTTCCTCCAAAGACCTGGATTTGATCATAAGTCGCCTGCAACTTTCACTCGACTTATTGACCGCCTTTTTCAGGAAGTGGAAATTAAAAATTAACGCCTCTAAAACAGAGGCAATTATGTTCTCCGGGACTAGATCGCTGCCTACTCGTACCCTCAATATTGAAGGATATGCGATACCATGGAGTCGCTCTGTTAAGTACCTGGGTGTCATATTAGACAACAAACTCAACTGGACCCTTAACACACAATACATCAGGCTCAAGAGCATGAAGGCTTTGAATGCACTGAGCCCCATCTTAAATAGAAGATCGTGCCTCAGTAGCAAAACAAAGCTAAGTGTATATCGAACCTTAATACGACCCTGCATAACTTATGCCTGCCCAGTATGGAGCAGTACGTGCCCTACTAATTTAAATAGCTTACAGGTTGTCCAAAACAAAGCATTGAAATATGCATTTAATACTCCGTTTCGAACAAACCTCCAAAAATTTCACAATAAAATTAAGTTTCCGACTATTTATCAGTTTATATTCAAATTATCAAAAAAATTCTATTTACATAACAACCGAAAAAGTAAAAATAAATATATTAATAACCTTTGTAAAACGCGGATGAAAAATTTACCTTACATCGATAAATACAACAGATACAAATTACCCCATCACTTGTTTCTTGAGTGCGATGAATAACTGGTTATCAGTGGCCCGCGCAGGTGCGCGAGTGTTGGCCACCGCGTCGCGCGCGATCTCCGGCCTTATTATAAATATATATAGACCTGGATTACGCGTGCGTTGCGTGACTGATGCTCGCGCTAGCCTTAGCGGGTGACTGTTCCTATTGTGATTGCTTGCCGTCCACTCTTTTGTTCTCAGTGCTACCCCATTTATTGTTAGAACTATATTTAGTTATTCAATTTAGGCATGTCAAAATGCAAATCTCATCTAAAGATTGCATAATTACCAGGTAGTTTACCTCATTGTTAAAAATTGTTTGTTATTGTTAAAACCTTTCGTAACATTATAACTTTAGTTTTATAAATTTTATAAGTTTTTAAAAAAGCAAAATAGCTGTAAAAACGTGTCTAGTTGTAAGCTTGTTACATTCCAGGAAATAATGTACACTGGATATGTAGCACCATAAATTTTGTGAAACAAAATAAAGAATTTTTGAAATTGAAATTGAATCGATGTTGATGTCATTTTTTTAAAATTATTTATATCTCTCGGTTCACATATTTTATCTGTTACCAAAAATGATTAAGTATTTAGCATGCTACGTATGCTTGTTAAAGGTACATAATCAGTTTTTATTATTATTTTTGTGTGTTAGTTATAAGCTATTGTAATGCAAAACTTTTTAAATAAATAAATAAATGTTTAATGAAACATGCAAAGGGGCCGTTCAAGTATTACGCAAGCTTATTTACTCCCCCCTCTTGTCAGCAAATATAAGCAAAGCTTTTAAAAATAATAGTACAGAAACGTATTATTTTTTTGTAGGAATCCTCGATAATGCATTTCGTTTTCAAGCATAGACAATGTGTGGGTAAAATGTGTAAAAAAGTAAATAATTGCTGTTGACGTAATCACCAAATAAGAAAATCAAAGACCACCTCCCCCCTATAGTTTTTTTTTTTAAAGACATTTCACACCACTTGACCTAGTCCCATGCTAAGCTGGTGAAGCTTGTGTTATGGGTACTAGGCAACGGATATACATACATATTATAGATAGATAAACATATAAATATATATTTAACACCCAGGACCTAAGCACAACACCAAATGCTCATCAGATCGATGTTCGTCTCAGCCGGGGATCGAACCCGGGACCCATGGATTCGCAGTCAGGGGTACTAACCTCTAGACCAATGAATCGTCAAACGTTCTTACGTAATACTTGATCGGCCTCAAACCACAATTTATTACCTAGGAATAATCTCCTCATCCTTCACAGTGTGAAGAAAACTCACAACAGTGTTAATAGATGACCCACAAGCGCCAACCCCGTAGTCACAGCCGCAAAGAAGAGCCAACGCAATCATTTTTTTACGGCCGAATCCTAAGAACGTTTAAAATGACAGCTGGTACATAAAAAAATAAAATACAGCTGAGAGCCCACAGACTACTAGAATATGTAGAGCAGTGTTGGCTTCTTAACCTAGTGGCTTCAACGTGCAACTCTCATTCCTGTGGTCGTAAGATCGATGCCTGGCTGTGCACCAATGGACTTTCTATGTGCGCATTTAACATTCGAACGGAAAGGAAAACATCGTGAGGTAACCTTGCCTTAGACCCAAAAAAACGACAGCGTGTGTCAGGCACAGGCTGATTACCTGAAATCTGAGGGCCAGACCCAATCAGGGTTGACGCAACTATTTGGAATGTGTAGTCTGTGAACCATCAATATGAATTTCGATAATTTTATTTATTGCTTTAAGGTTACACTAACTAGTATAATTTGTATCAATGATATCTAACCCACAATAGAGATTCCAATCACCGAATAATGAAATTAATATGAAAATTCGACATCAACAATTTTACAATAATAGCATAATTTACATAACAGAACTTTTTATATTTCATAATTAATATCTAATAATATAACACTAGCTAGTACAGATACCGGCAAACATCTTGAACAAATGTCCTTGCCTGCGCAGAAGCGATTTTTAGGTATCACTTGGCGGGAGAGTGACGTGTCGATCGCGTGATTCGTAAATCAGTTGACGTTTGGGTCCCGCGCTGCGTTTCCCCCACTCCCTTATTTAATGCTCAAGAAGTTTGCCGGTATCTTTACGGTGAAGGAAAACATCGTGAAGAATCGTGCCCTCAAATAAAAATGTGTCAAGCACAAGCGGTAGCTTTCCTTTGTAATAGGTTGTTTACAGTTTTTTGTAATATTGCCTATTACCTTTTTGCCTATTACAAAAAACTATTACAAAACATATACAGAAATCCAAAGGCAAGACCTAGATATTGTAGCGTCATTGTGGTTTATTAATTTCGTAATACTTTTGCAATGTCTTATGTACAAATAAATAACACCCCCTCCCCACCTTCTAACCAAATGGAGCAGAGATTTCTTTTTCTTACGACAAACATAAAGTAAAGTAAAGTAATAAATCATTTAATCACATAGGTAACATAATGTACACTTACGACTCGTCAGTTAAGATATACATATTAATGCTTCTAATTTTACATTGACTGCCAGTTCTCAAATCAAGGGCGTAGAACGGAAGAGAAGAACTGGCAATAAACTGTCCGCCACTCTTTATAATCGCCATTTTCTTTTTTACACAACGTTTGTAAGGAGCTGCAACCATTACACCATGTTCCACATGACATATCAAGTAATTAATAACATAAATTAATAACATAAATTAAAAAAAAAAAAAAAATTGGTCTCTATCAGCAGGAGGCATGGTGAAATAGGAGCACGCACTTACATTCTCGTGGGAACACGCAAACACATAGTCGAAATAAGCAACATCACCGGAAAATCGGAAGTATGCGATCTAAGCGAGTTCTATAAACGAAAATCCCATACCATTAGCCTGGAACATTTTTTCTGCATCATAGCAATCCACTGATCCCTGCATGGCGCCCCCACCCGCTGAGCTGGACACGCTAAAGTTGCGATACACCCGGCGCGCCCCATATGCAAAGCAGTCGGAGTCTTGCGATACTACCGCGTCAACCAACTATGTTATATAGAAAAATCTTTTAAGCGATTGCATATTTTTTATAAGTAAGGTTTTATTAGACGCTATTCTAAGTCGGATAATCAGCAATCAATCGTTATGTGCTTGAAATTTTGATGTTTATACATCCAACACTCTAAACAGATATTTAATTTGAGTTATTTAAGTATCTATTCGTAATATATCTCATTTTTATAAATAACTAGTGGACCCCACAGACGTTGTCCTGCATGATATTTAAAGCGATTAGGATATTAAGCAAAGTATGAAAGTACCGACTGCAGTGCCATCTGCCAGGCTGATTTGTGAATCTAAACCATTCCCAGATCCCCTTGAACACACACAAAAAATTTCATCAAAATCGGTCCAGTCGTTTAAGAGAAGACATACACACTCACAGAAGAATTATATATATAAAGACTAGCTGACCCGGCTAACATTTGTTTGCCATGTATATTATTACTAGCAAAAAAATTGTTTAGTTCAATAAAAATCTACAATAATAAAAATAGGGGTTGAACGTAGAGGGGTGAAAATTAGGGGTTGTATGTATTTTTGTAAAATAAACTCAAACAAAAAATTCTAAAAAATAAAAATAAAAAAATTGGGGTAGACACCCCTTATCACTTAGGGGTTTGAAAGATAGATAGTAGCCGATACACAGACTTACTTACTATGCATAAAAAATTTCATAAGAATTGGTCGAGCCGTTTCAGAGGAGTATGGGAACGAAAATTGCGACATGAGAATTTTATATATTAGATAATAATGATTAACATAGTGAAGGAATACATAAAAATAAGAAAGTTCAACAATGTATGATGTCTGTAATCCTACTTTCATAAGAAAAACTATCAAAGAAACAGATACACCAAACAATATATACAAATGAAACAGATAACATAGTGAAACAGAATTAAAAACAGCTTATTAAATCAAGCAACATAAAAATGTTGTATGTACTATGTACAATTTAAAAAAAAATTATATGGTCACAGAATTAAAAGGCTTTAACAAAAATATGTATCTTCGTGGGTCTTAAAATCAATTGTGAACATAATTGTATTATTCATTGGCACAACACAAAATAATAATTGTATAATAATAATAATAATTATTGTATTGTATAAGTTATTAATCCGTTAAAAAAGTGTTTTTCTATGTCTAAAAGTTATGTCAACATATGTGACAATTTAAAAAAAATTAAATTTATAATAAAACATAACTTCAAATCCGTTAAAAAGTGTTTTTCTATGACAAAATAATAATTGTTTGCTAGGAATCAAACCCAAGACCTTAGTGTTATAAGCTTATCACTAAGCCTTGGGAGTTGGTGAATGGATGAGAAGGTACTTATTTTTATAATGCTTACCCCTTTTGAATTTAAACTAGCACAAGTGGCTTCTGCCTCTCCAGATCCTTTGACACATCTAACACCCATACTCTTCAACAGAGTTTCACACTAAAACAATTACAGTATATCTGATTAATGTCTATAAATAATAACATTTTTTTACTTTTACATGACTTTCTGTAACTATAGTAATGAATTATTTCATTATACATTAATAAAATAAATGTACTAAATTAATTTAATAATATATGAGATTAATAGTGTGCCAGAACTTATTTTTATACTTGCATATTTTTTTTCAAGAATTTGAGGTTTAGGGTAAATTGTGTATTATAAAGTAACATTATTATTCTATTGTAATAAAGTATTACCTATCCTTTAGTCAAATGTCTAGTGAGCACAACACACTTAAACAAGATTTGACTTCTTTAAAAGATTTGAATGAAATTTATATTTTATTTTATAACATGACATTATATTCTTTTAAATTAGTTATATTTAAACTAAAAGCTACATTTGTTACCAGTTCATATTCAAACATTTAAGTTTAAGGGAATGTATAATTAATCAGTACCATGTACTCAGAAGTACATACAAATATTAAAGCTAGTACAAAATTATAGTTAGGATACCTCTAATAAAACACCTTTAAACCTTTTTCTAGACACACTTGGAGCTTGGCTTTTAGCTTGTGATTTTGGTGCAGCTCCTCTGAACTGAATAGCATTCCTTGCTGCCATTACATCCCTCTTCAATTCGGGAGCATCACCCTCAAGTACAAAAATTGGATTTATGTCTGCTAATAAAAGATAGACAGTGCGGAAAAATAAATTTCTGTAAAACCAGTACAAAGTCAGAATATGTATCATAAATTATTATGTGTATTGGTGAATAAATATGGTGTGTCTAACTACCTCAAATATAGTTTAGGCTGGATATAGTAATCTGTTACATTTTGGCTATCACATACCCAGCCAGCCAGGTCCACAGCCACTGTTTCGCCTCTTATCTGAAGGAAGAAAGAATCAAATAAGAAAAAAAAGAGTATTTGTAGTTAATTTTTTAATACCTGACATACCTCATGAAGGGACTTTTTTTCACAATAAGGCGATAATACGTTCCATAAACCTTTAATGCCCATGATTTTAAGTTCGTCGTCGTCGATTCGTCAACAGCCCTAATTATTATTATAATGAAATCATTAAAGAAAATGAACTTTTCCTTACATATTAGAATATCACATTACATCATTTTATCGTTTAAATAATAATTCGTCATAACTAAGTATTTAATTTCCTATATACATTTACACAGCTGATTATATACACATACATAAGCGTATTAGCGTAGTAATTTAGATGAAATTTCCCTCATCATTTTGAAAATAAACGTTTTCTTGAATAACATTTAGTCAATTGTCACTGACAAAAAAACGAGACACAGAGGCCGTAAAATGAAGAAATGTCAATGTGGAATTGAATATTGACATCGAAACTTTTTGCCATTGGCATAAAGAATTTTAAATGCTGAAATCTGAATATGACCGATATTTTCAATTTTGTATAATAATAAAGTTTGGGGGTTTGGATTATATAAAATATATTGTTAAAGAATCTTTTTTGTTTGTAAAAATTTTTCTAGCATATCTATTATCCAAGTGATTAAAACTCACTCTTCCAAAAGGATTTGCGATTTACGTATCTAAAATATTTGATTACGTATTGACGATTATTTTGTTATATGTGGTCATTCCTTTATGCTGAGATTGAAACAATAGCTAATTAACATTCATTATCATGTTTGCCTGTTATCATGTTTATTCATTTATGTGATAAGAAATAAAATGTATAACTACGTCAGTTTAATTAAGCCACACAAACGGCGTAACTGTAGGCGTTATCAGTATAATTTTGTTATACTTTAAATTAAGTAATGTTGTCAAAGAATAAGAATTACGCTCGCTTCCGATAATACATACATCTGTATTCTGTACCCAACCCATTGATTAAGCTTTAAGAAAATGTATTTAAATAAAATGAATAAACTTTGGTAAGTTATAAATAGATAATTTAAGAAAAATTAATTATATAGGTATGAGATAGGTCTTTATTAGAAATAAATATACATGTTTTTTTACCATCATAGTATAATTAACAATTATTACTTATTAAAATAATTTTATTTACAATGTTTTCAGGCAATTTCAATGTCTTCAAATTACAAGACGGTCAAGCCATGTAGAAACAAAAGCAGATATAAAGCGAAATATTAACAAGGTTTTAATAGCAAATCGTGGAGAAATAGCCTGCAGGGTTATGAGAACTGCAAAAAAATTAGGGATTCAAACAGTAGCCGTATACTCAGATGCCGACAAGCATGCCATGCATGTTGAAATGGTATCTAAAAAATTATAAATCTTTAAAATTTCATAAAATATACATTTCATATTTCTTGCTTCGTAGTTTTTACAACTTGGATCACAATGTTATTTTCCAAGGTCATCTACTGTTCTCTGGGACTTACATTTCTACATGATAACATAAAAATGTAAATCATCAATTGTCCCTGCCAGCCAACCTAAGCATTTATTGTTTTACTGAGAATCAAACCTAAAATTAAAAACCAAAAGTAAAAATAAACAATGTTAATTCATTAGTAATCATAACTTAAGCAGATTCAAATAGATATCTTGTCCTATTCCAGGCAGATGAAGCATATCACATAGGGCCAGCACCTACAACCCTGAGTTATTTAAATGCAGAAAAGATTCTAGAAGTAGCCAAAAGGTCAAAAAGCCAAGCTATTCATCCTGGCTATGGATTCTTATCGGAAAATGTGGAATTTTGTGAGAGATGTGCTACTGAAGGAGTTATTTTTGTTGGACCACCAACATCAGCTATAAGAGATATGGGAATTAAAAGGTAGCTATTAAAATGTATGTAATGGATTAGAGATAAGTGTCCTTGCTCTGATATTTAAACTTATCTTATATTTATAGAGTCATTATGACAGTAATTGCAACTTATTAACACACATTTGTGCTTATTTAATTTATGGAATATAATAATTAAATTATTTTACTATATATATATATCTATCTATAAAGTCAAAGTCAAAATCATTTATTCATATTGGTAACATAATGTACACTTATGAATATCCAAAAAGAAATACACATTCAATGCTTCTAACTTTACATTTACTGCCAGTTCTCAAATCAAGGGCTCAGAATGGAAGAGAAGAACTGGCAATAAACTCTCCGCCACTCTTTTTAACTGCCAAGTTTTTTGTTTTACACAATGTTTGTAAAGAGCTGCACCATGTTCCACATGACTTCTTAAGAAATTAATAATAATAAAATTAATTAAAACAAAGATTTGTCCTCTATCAGCAAGAGGCATGGTGAACTTGGAGATATTAATGTACTATCTTTAATTTGTATTCTTTTTAATAACTATATGTAAAGAAACTTATGCCCAAGATTGCATTCTATTCCATAAGAGTTACACTATTCCTGTATACCCCTTATCTTTATATATATAATTCTTCTGTGAGTGTTTATGTCACTGAACTTCTCTCAAACGACTGGACCGATTTTGATGAAATCTTTTGTGTGTGTTCAAGGGGATCTGGGAATGGTTTAGATTCACAAATCAGCCCGGCAGATGGCACTGCAGTCGGTACTTTCATACTTTGCTTAATATCCTAATCGCTTTAAATATCATGCAGGACAATGTCTGTGGGGTCCACTAGTAATATGAATAAAATTTTGCAGTACATCAAAGACAATAATGTCAAATGCAGGTGTACCAATAGTGAAGGGATACCATGGTGAAGGCCAAAGCTATGACAAACTATTATCCGAGGCTAGAAGAATAGGTTTTCCTTTAATGATCAAAGCGGTGAGGGGAGGTGGGGGAAAGGTAAGATATACATTGACAGCTGTACTTGCTTACTAAACAATAGGCTATTTGACAAGATTTAAAAACTTATTCAGATTATTTATTAGTGACTATAGAGCTTTAAGATTACAAGCTAAACATAATTTTAAGAACCCGCCAAAACGCTTCTCATACAAGATGGCGGCAAGCCACGTCATCGTCGATTCGACAATCCTGTGTCACGTGACTAACTAAAAACTTAAAACCTAAACCATTTTATAACTAATTATAAATAATGCAATTCTTGTGAATTCAGCCTGTGTGTCGGTTGTCAACTCTGGTCGAACATTGTTTTGTTTCGCGCGGCTGCCGCGCTTAATTTATACACACCTTAACATTTCCGAATTCTATATTTTACCTCATATTTTACTCAAACGCTTTTTAAAGCCATGGCTTATATTCATCTAACAATATTTTTCACACTGTCAGCCTATTCTTTTAGCCATAGTATTTACTTACATTGGTGAATTGTAATTGAATGTTCAGTATTTTGTCACTTTTCACTATTTAATTACGGAGCTCAGTTATGTACGAGTCAAGTATGTAGGAGTCGAGTATGTAGGAGTCAAAGTGATACCCTCCTTTTTAGAAAACGGTTAGACCGTTAAATCCAGCTTTCATTAAAATATTTTCAGTATTAGGGTCTACTCACACTTATTCAGCTCTATTCAGCGTTTGTCGATAGAAAACAACGATTTTGTATGGAGACGCGTACGCATCCATTCAGCTTTCCGCGTCAATTCAGCTTTCGCTGCAAATCAGTATAAAATGAGGATAAACGTGTTTTTATCATGCGTCTGCTATAGAATGCGTTCAGCGCTGTTCCGCCGCATTCAACGTCGCACGCTATGATGGCTTTTCTCATTCTTACGACGCCGTACACGGCTGATAGAAGCTGAATAAGTGTGTTTAGTCCCTTAAACGTTTTATTTCAGGGTATGAGGATTGCAATGACAGAAGCGGAATTTAAGACGCAATTGGAGTCTGCTAAAAGGGAATCTCAGAAATCGTTTGGTGACGACAATATGTTGCTAGAACAATATATAACAGATCCTAGACATGTTGAAGTTCAGGTATATATAAATAGAAGAATGGTTTCCCGTGGATCTCACTCTCCTATTAATACGTTTCACGATTTTTTTGTACTATGTAGTGGCTTTAGCGACTCCCATTCTTGAGTGCGTAGGTTGAATGTGCGCATTTAACAATTGCTCGAACGGTGAAGAAAAACAGCGTGAGGAAACCGGCTTGCCTGAGACTCAAATTGTCGACGGCGTGTTTCCGGCACAGGAGACTGATCGTACTTGTAAATCGAATTAAATCAATAACCATTTATTTATTTAGGTAACACAATGTACATATCAACGGAAAAAAGAAATGCATATTAAATGTTTCTAATTTTACTGCCAGTTCACAAATCAAGGGCGTAGAACGGAAAAGAAGAACTGGCAATAAACTCTCGGCGAATCTTTAATCGCCAAGTATTGTTTTACACAATGTTTGTAAGAAGCTGCAACCATTACACCATGTTCCACATGACATCTTAAGTGATAAATAATAATAAAATAAATTAAAAACAAAGACTTGTTCTCTATCAGCAGGAAGCATGGTGAAATAGGAGCACGTACTTACATTCTCGTGAGAACAACACGCAAACACATAGTAAAAATAACTTACATTGCCGCATACACGAATTCAAGTACGACCGGTCACCACAAGTAGCACCCGTTCACGAGTATGACGCATGGGACTAGGTCAAAGCCATCGGCCCCTTAATTGGCAAATAATCATGAAACAGATACAGAAATCTGAGGCCCAGACCTAAAAAGGTTGTTGTGCCTCCGATTTATTTTTAATGAAGTGAAAATTTCTTTAGCGGCGTTCTACACTTTTTTTGGAATGGGTAAAAAATGTTAAACTCGCGTCAGGACACGTGACCTGATCGAAAATTCGTAAGACGGATGGAGAGTAGACTACGTAATATAAATTGTCATGTTCGTGTATGATAGCGCAATAAATAAATATTGTATTCTACCACATAATGATAGTACTTTTATACTAATAATTAAAGCAATTCGTGCAAAATTATTCCCTAACCATTCCAAAATATGAAAAATGCACAACGTTAATATTCAAGTTTTCACTTCAGCCGGCACTCCTGGAGTGCAACCCGTCGTTTTAGTTGTTCGACTGTTTGAGTTTCCTCCTTGAAGGTTGAAGGAACTGTACATTGCCTAACGCACCTCCAAAGCATTAATGAATGACTATACAACCCCACGCCACATTAAATCTTTTGTCCCTAGCAGTCTCGTATAACCTTGCGTATAAACGAAAGGGACAAAACATTCATTACAATCGGCACTTACAATTTGCAGGTGTTCGCAGACATGCATGGAAATGCTGTGCATTTATTTGAGAGAGACTGCTCAGTACAAAGGCGGCATCAAAAGATTATTGAAGAAGCACCAGCAGTAAGTCAAATTATTTAACTGTTCTAGACTAATTGACGTGTAACTCATTTATACTCTGATTCTTTTGGTGTAATTTTCCACCCAACTTTAAAATTTTGTTGGTGAATGATGATTCTCTTTCATAGCCAAGATTCTTTTTATATATAATAGGGGGCCAATGACGACACCTTTAGTGGGTGCGTTGCCGGCCTTTGAGGAAGGAGTACACTAACTTTGAATAGTTGGAGGTCGTATCTCTGAGGGAAGACCCCCACCGGGAGTCGATTCCACACTTCGCTAGTTCTCAAAAGAAAATGCCTTGTGAAGCGGACTGTGGAAGACTTCCAGCCATCAAGTTGATGCTGATGAAATTTTGAATTGATACGGCTCGTACGGTGTCGAGGCAGGAGGGATCAAAACAAACAATTCTTCAGAACACTCACCATAGTACACTTTGTAGAAAACGCAAAGAGACGCAATGTCTCTGCGTAGAGAGAGAGAATCAAGCCGATAATACGTTGGAGATTGACAATTCGAAAAGCCCTTCGCTGAATTTGGTCAAAAGGAAGAAGCTGGTATTTGGGATCTCATGATCTATATAGGCTTTTAATCACCAGATCATAGTATGTTTTTCCCGGAAACCGAAAGTTATGGGGCCTTTCAAGTACTAGTAAGCACCATAGGGTCTCTTTGCGTTTTCTACAAAGTATACTACGGAGAGTGTTCGGAAGAATTGTTTGGGTTGATCCCTCCTGCCTCTTTTCAACACCGTACGAGCCGTAAGAGCTCTAAATTTCACCAACATTATCTTGATGGTTGGAGGTCTTCCACAGTCCGTTTGACAAGGCATTTTCTTTTGCAAACTAGCGAACAGTGGAATTGACTCCCGGTGGGGGTCTTTCCTAAGAGATACGACCTCCAAATGTTTAAAAATCGAGTGTACTCCTCCCTCAAAGGCCGGCAACGCACCCACTAAAATTGGGTGTCTATGGGCTGCGAAGACTGCCTTTCTTGGTCGTCCCGCAAGCTCGTTTGCCCCCCTATTATATTTTTAAAAAATAGGGGAAGGGGGGTGTTGTTTTGGTGATTACCTCAACAGTAATTATTTACTTTTTTAAACACATTACCTACGCATTGTCTATGCTTGAAAACGAAATGCACTTTCGAGGATTCTTACAAAAAAATAATAGGTTTATGTACTATTATTTTTGAGAGCTTTGCTGACAAGAGGAGGGGGGGATAAATTGCAGTAAATGTGTTCACGTAATACTTGGACGGCCCCTATAGACATGATCAGTTTGGACCAGTTTTTTTCATAGATTCAGTAGTTTGTGATGTAGGTAGGTAATAACGGTTACAGGTCTAAGTTTTTCTATATTCATTTCAGCCAGGTCTGTCCGAAGAAACACGTAGGTCGTTAGGTGAAGCGGCTGTGAGAGCTGCAAAAGCTGTAGGTTATGTTGGAGCCGGTACCGTAGAATTTATCTTGCATAGACAGACACACGAATTCCACTTTATGGAGATGAACACAAGGTTGCAAGTTGAACATCCGATCACAGAGATGATAACAGGTAAGGTTTTATCGCATTTTTTATAGAACTAGAGGCTCATCTGATGTTAAGAGATACCTATATGGACACTCTCAATGCCAGTGGTCTCGCGAGTGCGTTGCCGGCCTTATAAGTATTGGTACACTCTTTTCTTGAAGGAATTGGTTTGGAAACACTTTAGTAGCTGTTTCACGTTATGGTTTAGAATAGATTTTGTTAATTAGATACATTTTATTTATCATCTTTGCTATTCTAATAAAATTCACCCTAAATCAACTAATATTTTCTTCACCATTTTTATTTAAAATCTGAGGTATCTCATAAAAAACTAAAATTAAATCTTGATAAATTCTATCAAGTTGCGATTCAAATATTTACTTTAAAACACTCGTCTGTTTGCGTCTACTGTTAGAAAGAATATAAAATGACTTTTCTCAAGCGTTTAATGAAGTCATCCATCTTATAACTTAAATTCACAGGTACTGATTTAGTAGAATGGCAGCTTCGTATAGCATCAGGCGAGCCTTTACCATTTACCCAAGAAGAAATACTTAGAAAAGGCCACGCAGTCGAATGTAGGATATATGCAGAGGAGCCTCGCGCAGGGTTCTTGCCTAGGGCCGGAACTCTTCATAGACTCACACAGCCGATTGCTGAAGAAAATGTTCGAGTGAGTATGCTACCTATAATTGTTAGCAAGTTTTAAAGTAGAAAACTGTTTTTGTTTTCAAAATTTTATTTGAGTAATGTGCACAGTATGTGCAGAGTATGTTTGACGACTCATTGGTCTAGTGGTTAGTACCCCTGACTGCGAATCCATGGGTCCCGGGTTCGATCCCCGGCTGAGACGGACATCGATGTGAAGAGCATTTGGTCTTGGGTGTTTAAATATGTATTTATATGTCTATGTATCTATAATATGTATGTATATCCGTTGCCTAGTACCCATAACACAAGCTTCACCAGCTTAGCATGGGACTAGGTCAATTGGTGTGAATTGTTTAAAAAAAAAAAGTATGTCAGATCAGTATCTCAAAATTTTAAAATAGGTTTTTAAGTTTCTTTACTGATAAATTATTTGGCAAATACTGTACTTCCTACTACCCGCGACGTCGTCTGCACAAGATTTTTGAGCTGTATTATTGTAGCTTTATTAAAGTCTATTAATTCAATTTACAAATTTTATTCCATAAGGTTTTTTAAAGCCAAGTTTTATTTTAACGCTTTATTTTTCATACTATCAAATACGTCAAAAGCATTTAATTTTGAACAAATTTGCCCTCGTTTCAATAAATATCTTAGATTTAAAATAACTACTGAACTAATAATCTCTGAATTGCCGTCGGTATTAAACAGGCTTAAGAGGGTGCAGCCGTGAGAAGGCGAGATTTCGATATTTTAGTGACTTTTGACATGCTACTTTTCACATAATCGAAGCTTATTAAATAAAGAAATGTACAATTATGTAAACATAAAGTCTTATAGAAGTGTACTGCAAAGGAAAATTTTGGTATTTAATAGTACATCTTTGTTTAATTTGTCATTTCTTAAAAGCAAAATTTCAAAAGCGCTCGTCAGAGCTCACTTTGAGATATGAAATTACCATTAAGCTATGTAAATACATTTTTTAAATATTTTCGTAGGACAGAATATATAGTCTATTGGTGAACCACAGCGGAAAATATTAAAAATTATATATTTTAATAATGGGTGCGTACCCATTTTTATAAATGACTTATTATACGATTTTGGAAACAGCTTTTTATGAGAAAAGCCCGATTTTATTCGTTAAAACTATTTTGTATCGATTAACTGAGGATGAATAAATAATAAAAGTAAATTTACATAATTATTATACGACGATAGTTATTACAAACTATTATTGAAAATGGCCTATATAATTACGCGCACGGGCGAATGTGATTTAGTACGCGCCGGGTCATCCCAGAGGGTGGACGTATCGCTCATTTCCCGCGCGTCTAAAAGTTGATTGACCTTACGTACGACCGAGGTTCAAAAGGAGTATAGTGCGTCATTGGATTTGATACTTTAGTAAGTAAAATTTCTAGTTAATGTTTCTTTCGAGTTGTCATATCGCAATTTTGCTAAAAAATAATATTATTACAGGCATGGGTAACAAACGCAAAAAATATAGTTGCAGTAGAAATGCGAAGTCTGCAGCGAACGCCAGGCAATCAAAAAGGTAAATTAATTTCGCGATATTTTTCTGTCATTTACAGGTAATTTGGTATGTAAGTAAAATCTGTTCATCGTTACTGTTTAGTAAACAATTACGGCGTACTGACAACCAAACACAATATAATATATTAATATCTTGGTTGATGAATAAGAATAATTTATTAGTTTTAAACATAGTATAAAATTGGTGTTACAATATCAACAGAGTTCGCATGTTTAGCTAAAATAATAGCATGTAAATCACAGATATAGATGTACATAGATAACGCAAGTATCACGATTTGTATTGAAACCAAGCGTGCCGACTTTTAATACCTATTGTGACGTCACAGCCGAAATTTAGTGACGGGAAATCCAAACCGATTCAAAGACACCGATGCCGCCGATGCCACTAGTTACTAGCTTTGCTACCAGCTTACATTATACCGTTAGTCTTTTCTTATGACGCGCGTGGACTGAAGTTAGCGGCGATCGACCTTGACGCTTGGTCGGGGTTCGGACACGCGAAGTACATGCATTTGCGTTTTCTATGTAAATCTATATCTGTGATGTAAATATTCATTACATATACAATAGTATTACATTTAAAAATAAAATAAAAATATGTCAATTAATTTCCAATATTTATAAAAGTAACGTCAAAAGTAAGTATTTAAACAAACAAATGTTTGTTTAAATACTTATTTTAATAATGTTATAATAATAAAACGTTTTCCAGGAGAAAGATTAACGAGGAAAAAAACCAACGTACTCATGAATCTCCTGACAATAACGACTCCTGTGTTGATTCAAAAAATAATAATCGTGACAATGTAAGTATTTACTATCAGCTAGTATAATTAGCTATTCATACTTAAATTTAAATCAGTATATATTTAGCAGTCATCTGGGTAAATTAATCAGTAAATTAGAGGCTTTTACTAAACCCCGGTTTCCAATTAAATCATTGTCTAATAACCAGCCAAGTAATTGAGCGCAATATTAAACCAGATGGCTGAATGTCGTGTAGTCATTTATATTAAATCAGATACCTATTTATGGATTTGTGATGTTTGGGTAAGGTGACCAAGTAAGTTGTACGCAATGTAACTTGGAGGTATCTCCAAGTTTTCCTACTATTTTATTATTATTTAAAATAAAATGTTAATCCAGTTCTTTATTTTTTTTAATAGGAATTATTTGATGCACTCATATCGGATCTGGAAAAAATAGATGAGAAAAAACAAAATATACATTTAGAAGAAACGGCAAATATTGAAGAGTTTGAATTGGTATATAACGTTGGTCACTATATCACGTAGTCACGCTATCTGCCATGCGTAATTCAATTATTAATCTTGATTACTGATTTCAGGAAGTGGAGCCACAAAAACATATCATTCCTCCATATCAAATTATAGGAAGAAGGATTGTTGATTTCATGTATTTCTTTGATCAAATCAAAATCGTAGCTAACCATAATCCTGGACTCGGTTGTTCAATAAGTAATGTTGAAATTGTCAAAGAAATACTTAATGGCTTAGAATCGACAATCCACTTCAAATGTACAATGTGTAACAAGAAATTTAATGTCACACTATGCAATAATAATTTTCCAAAAGAGATGACCACAAACCATGCTGCAGTGACTGGTGCCATGTTAATTGGTTGTGGTTGGAGCAACCTGAATGAGTTTTTGAGTGCTATAGATCTTCCAAATTTAGGTCAAAAATCTTATGCAACTTGCCATAATGACGTATCCAAGTGGTGGGCAGTTGCTGCAGAGGCATCAATGAAAGAGGCTGCTGAGGAGGAAGCAAAGCTAGCCATCGAAGGTGGTGAAGTTATAACAGGAATTCCTTCAATCACAGTAGTAGCCGATGCTTGTTGGTCGAAACGGTCCTACAAAAGTAACTTTTCTGCACCTTCTGGAGCAGGCGCAATTATTGGAATTAAAACAGGGAAGGTGTTACATATGGAAGTAAAAAATAAATACTGCATAATTTGTGCCCGATCGTTGAAGAACAATAATTCGCCTCCAAATCATAAATGTGCTCGTAATCACACAGGTTCCTCGAGTAGCATGGAACAAGCTAGTATTGTCGAAGGCTTCAAAAACTCAGTTGAAAAGCGCAATTTAATATACTCGACGCTTATCGCCGATGGAGATGCGAGCACATACAAAAAAATTTTGGAAAGCCGGCCCTATGCCAATGTTCAAGTCCAGAAAATTGAATGCTCCAATCACTTATTAAGAAACTACTGTAGCAAACTAATGCAACTGCAAAAAGATACTTCGATTCCTCTTACTGAGCGCAAATTATTAACTTCCGAACGCATCACTCGTCTCCGAACAGCGGTAAGAGCAGCAGCTCGCTTTCGCAATGCTCAAACTACAAGCAACTCTGAAAAAATTTTAAAACTAAGAGACGACATCATCAACAGTCCGAAGCATGTTTTTGGCGACCACAGTGCATGTGAAAATTATTATTGTCCAGAGGATAAAAAAAAAGAGCAGAACCTAGTTCCTGTTGTAAAAAACTTGTTTGGTAAACTTATAGCTCACGTGTCCCAAATAGCCTTGCATTCTAAAAGTTTACTCTGGAATGTCAACAACAACAGAGCCGAACAGTTTAATAGCATTGTGGCTAAGCATATAGGGGGAAAAAGAATAAATTTTTCTTTAAAAAACTCTTATACTGCCAGGTATTATGAAATGTCTAATTGCTCTTTCCTTTATATTACGAGTAGAATAGAATAGAATTTGTAGCATATTGTTTGTGGATAATGGATATTTTATTATTATTATAGGTGCCATGCTGCGGTTGTTGCATTTAATACCGGTAAACCACAGTACAATTTATACCAAACTAACTTCAAACAAAGTCCGAGGAAAGCTGTAAAAATTCTGGAGTTGCGCCGGCGTAGGCGCAATATTCATCGCCGCCGTCAAGGTCCTAAAAGGAAAATAATATTTAGTAATGAGAACCGAGACTACGGAGAGAAATGCCAAAAACCAGATTTGAGTCCAGAGCAGTACGACATAGCCAAAAGTTTGTTTTTGTCTAATTTGAAAGAACTTGTGGAAAATCGTCATGCCGTTGAACGTGACACGGTATTACAAGCTGAAAGTGCGTTGTGGCTAGAGCTCCGTAGATGCCTGTTGACAGCCTCATCATTCAGCAAGGTAATTTAAATATTAATATAAGCGCAGGTTTCTTCCTGGAATGTAACTCAGCTATCCGTACTATTTTTTTTTTAGATTTGCAAGAGACGACCCAACATAAGCTCAGCACCTCTTGTGAAGTCCATCGTATACTCGTATTCGTTGGACAAAGTGCCAGCCATAGAATATGGTAAAAGTAATGAAAAATCTGCTATAGACCAACTACAGCAACAAGAAAACATCGTTGTGGAAAAGTGTGGACTTTTCATCGACAAAGAGCATTATTTCTTGGGTGCATCTCCCGATGGTCTCTACAACCAGGGAATTATTGAAATAAAATGTCCATATTCTGCACGCAACATGGATGCTGAGGAAGCGATAAGGCAGCGCAAAATTAAATTTTGGAAATTGGACGGCACCGTTAATACCAACCACGATTGGTATTACCAAATTCAGGGGCAGCTTCACATTAGGTAACTGCAGCATTGTTAATATTTTTTCATATTATCGATATACCGTTTAGGCGCGTTTCGTTGCACGAGCTATACCAATCGTAAATTGAACTAAACGCCCCTAAAAAGGTGTACATCTTTTAACCCTCGGGAAGTCTGGTGGGTAAAAATCAAACGGCGTGCCTGGTGGGTCTAACGTGAATGTAACGATAATCATTCTCACATTTTTTTTTATGTTTCAGCGAAAAGAAATTGTGTCTTTTTGCTGTGTGGACTGGTCAACAATTTCCACTTAAAGTGGAAGTAATATCAAGGGACGAGGGTTTTTGGTGCCAAAAAATGAAACCGAAATTAATCAATTTCTACGAAAAGTGCCTCTTACCTGAATATATCGACCCCAGGAAAAGCCGGTCGATGCCAATCAGGAGCACTTGTTTGTAAATAATAAAATCTAAAAATGTAATTTATGATGTATCATTTACCCAATACTAGTTTGATAAAAATTAAAAAGTTTCATGGGGGCACACACACGTGACCGTGTATATCAAAGTATCAATATTATTTTATCCTACTATTCCACGTTCGAGATAGCGCTTACGCACACAGACGCATTTTGTTGTTGTGTAGCTCGTCTCGCGTCGATTTTGACTTGGCTGAATTGGGATAAGCGCTCTTAATAATAATATCGGAATAAAATAATGGCCACTTACATTGCCAGAAGCTTCGCATGTGCGTTGCCGGCATTAAGTATTCGTCGATAGTCATACTTTAAGAATCCCTACTACATCTTAGTATATGTTACCTTTTGTATAATTAATTCATCATGGTTGTATGCAATTAAAATACCTATACACTAATAGGTCATAAAAAATTGTTAGTTAGAGTCTGGCTAATGAAAGAAGATAATTGAATTATTTGAAAACTTTCGGATGGCAACACAGAATGTCATTAAATTTCTTAGGTTATTTCAATTATATATTTTTTCCGAATAGTTAACAGGTATAATAGCCTAAACTTTGTTTTATTTGATAGAATATTTCGTTTCTTTCGCAGGATTTGATTATTCCGAATAAAGTTGTGTTTTATAATAAATCTAGTTTTAGTTTTCCATGCAATGCTAGTCATTTTAAGTATCAATAGTAAAAGACGAAATACGTATAGTATTTAATTTCATAGAAATACAGTTACTATCAATGTAAAAAATAATAAAATCAAGTATCAAGTAAGTTTAATCCACAAAATATATCAAACTTTTAGGGATACCATACTAAAAAAATTTGAATTTTCCTCGCTTTTTCGTTATCTTCATTCATTAGCCAGACTCTATTTTCATCGACTCTATTGGAATATTTCAGATAGAAACAGGAGTGCGCCAGGGACAAGAAGTGTCCGTACATTATGATCCAATGATAGCTAAGCTGGTTGTTTGGGGACAAGACAGGAATGAAGCATTGGCTAAGACACGCCGAAAGCTATCGGAATACCAAGTATGTATTATTTTATTTAGTTATTTTTACAAAAAGGATTTTCGTGTGAATAAATTTACGAAATAATGCTTAAAACCCGTTAATTACTTAATTTTGGTCTCGTATTTTACTTCCGTTATATTTGTTTATAGTTTATTTTTGTATGCGATTGTCAACTAATATGGCAAACATTCGGATCCCTGTTGTACACCCATGATTTTTGTGCTAGTTCCAATGAAGGAAAACGTCCGTAAAGCTAATAACCTGCCTAAATATTTAAATTATCATGAATATTATGGCGAACATAATAGTTACTGGAAAACAATAAATAGAAAAATAATGAAGAGGATATAAATATAAAAAAAAGTGCGTGCGTACAAAGTACACATGTCAGAAGTGAAACTTCTTTGGCAAACCAATTTTTAAGTCTTGTCCATATTTATACAAATTTAAAAATTTCCGAGACTTAGAGGGAGGGAAAGAGGAAGATATGTTAGGAATTTAATGGATTTAATTGTCATTAGAACATTGAAAGTGTCGAAAATTAATACAAATTAAATTAAATTTTTTAAATTCATTTCTTCGATTATAAAAATACGTGGCATTTTAATTTACAATCCGTCATTTGAGATTTCAATAAATGATTTTGCATAAAATATAAATTACGAATATTTCATTAAATTCTCTTTACGAAATTTTAATTTTAAAAATTAATTTCTATAAGGTAATTCGCCCTTCTCACTCTCTCTCAATTCGTGACGTTCCGTAAAAATTGTAAGTATCATTGTTAAATTTCAGGTAGCAGGCTTGGAAACGAACGTGAATTTCCTTCTACGTCTAAGCGGTGCGAACGCGTTCGTATCGGGCGACGTACACACCGCGTTCATTCCGCAACATGAAGCGGAATTGTTCCCGGAATCAGATTTGGAATTGAGTGAAGAGAAAGCTGTGCAAGCGGCACTCGGATACGTAAGTTAATACAATTACCGTTCTATTATCTATGTAACGCTATCATTTATTGGGATGTGTGCCCTTTTTGTCAAAGGCCTTATTCAAATCTCTGCCTACCGATGTTTTCTTAATCTGGATCCCATCTTCTAAATTTTTTCTTAATTGTACCTTGGGCACCAGTTGTCCATGTCTATTGTGCTTTCTGCTACCTTAGTTCTTTCTTGTATTGTTTATTTATTTATTTCAAAATATATAATAAAATAATAATATAACTATAACACATACTTGAATACAGTAAAGACAATTGAAGGTTATATTTAATTCCCTTAACAAATTATCCGCCTTATTTCATTGCCATTTGTCAACTACCATAGACTATACTAAAATAAATAAATACATCTTTTGTTCCGTTCATTTGAGTTATTTGATTAGTGTTTTGTAATAACAGCAACATTTTCTTTTATTGACGTCTAAATTGACAATTGTTGGAAACGCAATCGACATTGATTGACATTTTTGTGTATGGCAACTCATGTATGCCCTTAAAAAGGTAAAAATTATAAAGATATTAACTCCTAAAAATAATTAAGAAGTTTTATCTAATTTGAATAAAATTAGTAACAATGTATCTGTTTGGACTAACTGTTTGATTCGTTATCTATCTCAAATTAATTAGGTCACGTCTCCAATTTGTAAATATTTCCATAAATCTGAATTTGAATTAAAAAAGAATGTATTTCGCGCGTTTTTTACATGATTTTTTTAAAAGACGGATAATGTTTGACAGCCAATTAAGTTTTCTTTTGTTCGTTCGATCTCTTTGGTGACACATAACATCTTAAAAAAAACTATAACCACATTCTAAATTCAAATTACGTTAAAACCTATTTTAGTGTTCGCACAACATTTGAGATGAGTCCAAAATGTCGGGCTATCTGTTAAATTAGCGTTTTGCTAAATATTTTCGAATGATTGTGGAATTTTCTAGAAAAAATATATAAGATAAGGCATGGTGGAAGGCGAATAATAATAATAATAATTTAAAATAAATAAAATATGTTTTTAGATAATAAAATCTCAGTTGGAGAGTTCACCGAACGACACTTGGAAGGGAATTTCTGTCACACCAACATCGTGGAGATCGAATTATCAGCTTCAGAAAACGATTAATTTGAAGTTCGGCGAGAAAGGTAAAGAAAATATATTCCTTATTAAAATAAATCTACATTAATCGCTAACCAGCTTCCGTCCGAAGCTTCCATCGCGTGAATTTCTTGTATTTAATTAGATTGCAACTGCTTTAATCTTTAAATAGCAGAGTTAAAAGGAAGTATCTGCCAGTCTAACCATTGACTGACCCGAAGACCCCGGTGACTGAAGGAAAACATCGTGACCACCTTAGGAGGAATGCCTTAGACTTAGAAGGATGATAACAAAAAAAAGAGTTCTGTTATGCTTCTAAAAGGCAAGTAGGTGGCCTTTTAGAAGCAGAACAGAACTCTTTTTTTTTTAATATATGTACATAACACTATATTGATACCTTTAAAAAATAAGATAATATTTAAAAATTTTAGATTAAAAATACAGCCAAAACGGATTACACCATATACAGACGAACATTAAGTAATAAATTGCTGGTTGAAGTGTGTGTGAGAATGTGTAATGTGCGTGTGTGTAAGTGTTCGTGAGAATGTATAATTTTGGTGTGTGTGTGAGAATGTATTATGTTCGCGTGTGTTAGTGTGTATGTGTGTGAGAATATATAACGTTGGCGTGTGTTAGTGTGTGAAAATGTATTATGTTTGCGTGTGTTAGTGTGTATGTGTGTGAGAATATATAACGTTGGCGTGTGATAATGTGTATGTGTATGAATGTATAATGAGGGTGCAGTTTAAGGGTGATCTTAAAAATCCATCCATCCACCCGTACTCCTCAGTATGTTCATATGTATGTAACATTTGTACAACTTACTTTCAGATGTCAGAGTTGCTGTCAAATTTGAGGCTGCCCCAAATTCATATTCAGTGTCAGTGAATGGTGGTCAATGGTTGTCAGCTGAAGCGTTTTTGAAGTCTCAAAATGGCTTGAGGTTAATCACGAAAGTCAATGACAGGACAAGTAATGTTGGATTTTTGACATTTGACCGGGAAATTCATGTTTATGACGAGGTAGGTTCCTGTGTCAACGGGATTTATATTGTCACTCTTTAAAATAAATGTAAACAAATACCTTTGATCAATTTAAAGGATACTAGCAGCCCGGCTGCGCATGCGCATCCGTGATCCGTAAACGTTGAAAAATTATATACCTTGAAGAGATATTTATTTATTAACAGCACATATACCAAACAATAATTATAATATACTAACATACATACATTAAACTTCTAACTTCTACTCCTACTTGAAAAAAAAAATTAAATAAATAAATATTTATTATTATTCTCTTACATTATATTATTATTCGAATGTTGTTTTTAAATTATGTCCAATGCCGTAGCATCTTCCGTGGGCAACTTCATTCTGTTAATTATGTGTCACGGTGCGCGCGCATCGTAATATTTCACTCTCATCAATTTTTCATAACGCGCCTAAAGAAGTATAGGGTGTCTCACGTAAAACTTCATATTTTAAAGTAAAATATTTAAATTTCGAAACAAGCGAGGGCAGGGAGGGGGCGTCATTCAATAGCGGGGGAACGCGGATTGGTTTGTCGCCATGTCGCAGTGGTCAGGAGCACACCGTGCGTTCGTGGTAGAAGCGTATTTTAAAGGCGCCAATTCGTTTACTCAAGCGAGGCGCGCGTTTTGTCAGCGGTTCCAAATTCGTCGATTAAGCGACGCACCAAGTATTCAACTAATCAAGTTGTGGACAGAGAAGTTCAGGCTAACTGGTTCAACAATCAACAAAGCAAATCGTCGACAGAATAAACCCGTAAGATCAGCTGAAAACATTGACCGCACCGCCGCTGCTGCACGGAATGACCCACGGCGCTCCGTCAGAAAACTTGCGGCATCGTTGAATATTCATCGCTCCAGCATTCACCGAATTTTGCGATTAGACCTTAAATTCCATCCATACAAAATTCAAATAGTCCAAAAAATCAAACCTGAAGACCTAACAAAGCGAAAAACTTACTGTGAACAAATGTTAGAGAATTTTGGACCGGAAAATGACCTGGATAAGGTTTTCTTAAGTGATGAAGCCCATTTTCACCTCGAAGGCTACGTCAATCGACAGAATTGTCGCTACTGGTCGCCGAGCAACCCACAGCAAAACCATCAGAAGAAATTACACAGTCCTAAGGTAACCGTTTGGTGCGCGATGTCTGCGACACGAATGCTGCAACGCGTAATAGCAAATATGCGTCTACGTTGGCAGGAGTGCATACGCCGTGGTGGAAGTCATCTCGACGACGTTATTTTTCGTAAATAATATCCGCATTAGTGAGCTTGGATTTTGTATTAATTAAAACAATATATATGCAACGGTTGATTTTTTATTATTTTACTAAAGTTAAATTCTGGAATGAGACACCCTATATAACTTCAATAACATTCATCTCTCAATCTTCCCAAACCTTTTAAATGCCAGCTTCAGGCCTTGACATTGGGCAATTGTTACCAGGAACCAGCTGCCCACTGAAGTATTTCCGAACCAATTCAACTTAGGGTCCTTCAAAAAAAGAGCGCACCAAGTCTTAAAAGGCCGGCAACGCACTTGCGAGCCTTCTGGCAATGTGAGCCTCCTGCTCGTTTGCCTCCTATTACGTAAGAAAAAAAGAGTGTTTTCATCAATTATGTTAATATAGTATCGTCATACTATCGTGACCTTCTATTGGTAAAAGAATATTCAAAATCGGATTAGTATATCCAGAGATTTCCCCCTACTCACAAATTTTACTTCTGTATAATAAAGAAAATATTTTTTCTAGAATGGTCAGACAGTTTTACATCTCCCAGTCCCCAAATATGAGAGTAAAGTCGGGGCTGGTGACAGTCTATCTTCGGACAATGCTTCTTCGCCAACACCTGGCGTTCTTGAGAAAATATTAGTCAGTACAGGCGATAAGGTATATAATATTATGATTTAGATTGAATTATTATTTAAACGTAAAAAAACGAGTTAATATCAGATAAAAAAGGTCTTTTAAAATATTGTACTCATTGCCTAATTTGTGAAACTTCTGATAAACTAGGTTATTTTTTTGTTTCGACTGATTTAAAAAAAATTTTTAACTAAATCAAAATTTAATGATTGTATGATATTTAATTATAATTATGGATTACTTGTTTGAAATTTGGAAATAAATAGCCTTTTCCTCAGGGATAATGCAGAATTATAATTTCAAAGATGGGTTTTGTTTTAAATACAAATAAACTTTCAAGAAAAAATTTTCAATGTGGTCACACCGGGACTACATGACAGTTTTGACGTTTTGATTTTGACATATAGATTAGACAATTGTTACATTTAATTCAATTTTAAAAATATCGATAAAGAATCTTTATTACTGCACAAAAAAATAGACAAACTATAAATCGAATTAAAATAATGAAAATTCACTATGAAGGTTTCTTTTTAATTTTTTTTTACTTAACACATTATGTCAACTAGCAAATTGTCAAAATTAGCCTAGCGGTCTTATTAAGTGGCAGCTAGGTGAGGGGTACCGGGTTCGATTCCCGGTTCGAGGGCAAGTTTTAATTTAATTTAAATTTGGTCTCGGCCTTTGGGAGGGTTGTGCGGTACCGGGCGAGTGCCTAAACCGTACATGGAGGACATGATCGAATTTCTAAGGCAAAAAGCACGATGATAAAAATCTCATACTTGACGCTGGCTAATGCACAAACCGTGCCAGAGCCATAAAAAAATAAATTGTGCGTGTACTAGGTGTACACACGTAAGAAGTGAAACTAAGAAATAAGATCTTATTTTTCGAAAAATGATCTACTATATGCAACTTTACAGAAATTCGTTAAATTAGATAAAGTTTAACAAAAGGCTTTTATTATCATAGACATGAATACAAATATTTCATTTTACCTTATTACTACGAAGATTATTATAGGATTTCATTAATTGTAATAGAAATATTACTATCATTGAAAAACGTGACGATTTGCTACAAAATTTCTCCCATACGTCGATAAAAAAGTTTCATTCCAACGCCGATAAAGAAGTTTGACTTCAAAAACCAACATGGCGCGTAACCGAAAAATGTGACGCGTAACGAAAAAATGTTACACTAAATTTTTTTTCCAACCTCGATAAAGAAGTTTCACTTCAATAAAATATAGACCCAAATTGATATTTTAGTAATAAAAATAGAATCATTGTCAACTGAATTTGCTATATTTTCAAGTTCTTGATGAAAAAATTCTTTAATAAGATATTTTATAGGTGGTAAAGGGACAGCCCCTATTCGTAGTCATTGCTATGAAAATGGAATATGTCGTTCGGTCACCGAGGGATGGAGTTGTCTCAACAGTTGCGGGTTTAAAACAGGGTGATGCAGTTGGAAAGGGTGCTGTAGTGGTATCATTGCAGGAAGAATAATCTGAATAAATATATTTTCTAAAATGTGTTTTAATTTTTTCATTAATACCTCATACTACGGTAAGCCAAATGAGAAAAACATGCCGTAACGTTGTTCCCATGGGAATGTAAGTGCGTGCTCCTATTTCATCATGCCTCCTGCTGATAGCGGACACATCCTAGTTTTTAATTTATTTTATTATTATTAATTTCTTAAGATGTCATGTGGAACATGGTGTAATGGTTGCAGCTCCAAATATTGTGTAAAACAAAAAACTTGGCGATTAAAAAGAGTGGCGGAGTGTTTATTGCCACCTAAACCCTTGATTTGAGAACTGGCAGTAAAAGTTAAATTAGAAGCATTTAATATATTTCTTTGTTGGCGTTCATAAGTGTACATTGTGTTACCTATATGAATAAATAATTTTGAATTTGACTTGACTTAAGAAAAATAATCAGGAATATGACTGGAGCAGTGCTGGCCTGGTGACTACAGCGTACGAATGTTATAACAAAGGTTCTGCCTGTGCTGTGCACCAGGCAATAAGGCAATGTAACAATTGCTCGTAAGATGAAAGAAAAAACTGTTAGGAAACCAGTCTTAGAAAGAAGTCGACTGCGTGTCGGGCACAGAAGGCTGATCATCTACTTGCCTATTAAGCAAATTATCACGAAGTATATTTGACATAGCGGGATCGTAAAATAGATCATTTCGTGAGATTATTGGCTACTTCATGGTCAATGTAAAATCAGCGTTTAACTATATACACAGTGATGACAACTCCTACAGAATGTTACGTTGAATAAATCGTTTAAAAACCTAAAAAGTTCATGCTGTTCACTTGGTTTGAAAGGTAACAAGGTTGAAAACAAATCTTGCATAAATGAACCCTAATTAAATGTATATCGTACAAACTCTAGGACATCTTGATTCCCCATAAATTTGAGAAGCAATCCAAAGTTGGCATCACTGCCTATTCAATATAGCTACAAAATAGTTACATTATTCAGCGTTAGAGGCGCTGGTGTAGCAAATTTCTTGATTAGATTTAGAAAAAAATATTTATTCTTGAAAGGCCGGCAACGCACTCGCGAGCCCTCTGGCATTGAGAGTGTCCATGGGCGGCGGTATCACTTAACATCAGGTGAGCCTCCTGCCCGTTTGCCCCCTGTTCTATATAAATTTTTTTAGAAAGTCAGTTTATTTTAAAATGACAATGTACATGAAACTTAAATCGGGTTTATTTTATTATCCGGCCTTGACATACACAGAAATTTAACACGAAAGGTTGCAGCGCCACCGACAAATTAATAAAGGAATTTATTGAGGTAACAGATCAATGTCACTCAAAAGGTTATCTCCTACAAACTCTCGGGATGGTTTAATTTATTCTTCTATTAAAAGAAATATTTCTAATCATAAAACTGAATATCTGAACATATATTTAGATTTAACAATTTAGTTACAGTAAATACGGCGGAACTAACATTACATAACGTAAACATCTGAATCTAATCCCATAATATTGATGACAAAACGGAATTAAAATGACAGTTAGCCCATAGATCGATACTAAAACAAAATTATTAAGAAATCCAGATAACTATAACATTACAATTAATTTTCGACTGGTAGGTATATATGTGATAGTAATTAGAACTGTAACTAACTTCACTTACGGTTAATAATAATATAAGTTTGTTACGAGTACTTTTTTTTATTATATTGTTATTGAGCTTAATATTTATTTATTTCCTTATTTCCTATACAGTAACTTAATACTAATACAATGGAAAACTAACGTAAAACATAATATAAACAAGTAAAAACTTAAAAACCTAAACCATTTTATAACTAATTATAAATAATGAAATATATTGTACCAATAGCGCGAAATGTAAAATTTGTCATAGAGTATAGATGAATTGGCGCGCTTTCTAGCAAACACTGTAATAGAACAAAACTCCTTGATTATTTATATTTGACATAAACTTAGAATTGACATTAATGTATTTGGAGAATCGTGTTGACGTTCCTGATTAAAATACGATGACTTTAAATGAAACAACATTACAGACTAATAATTATTCTCAACTGCTATCTGAAATCGAATATGATTAATTATTATAATATTATTAATGCAAAATTAAGTTTAATTTATGAAAAACCTGTATAATAGGTATGCAATATGCATTTTTAGTGCTGCTTTGAATTTATTAAACGCAGCGTTTAACAGTGATTTACGAAGGTAATTGATATTCAATACGTAATTATGGTGTCAATAGAATTGGAACGACCTACTTCGCAATATCTTTTAGGATAACAGCCTTGACAAGTTGAATAGAAAGTTGTTTTAATTTCGGTGTATATGTACTTTATTTTAGCATCATGTAGATATGGGGGCGTAGCTCAGATGGTAGAGCGCTCGCTTAGCATGTGAGAGGTACCGGGATCGATACCCGGCGCCTCCAGTATAATTATTTTTAGTTTTTTTTAAATAAAAAAACCAATATTTCAATTAATTTTTTGTTTTTACATTTTTCATACAAAGATTTATTAATTATTAAAGCAAAAATGTTTAATTTATTTTATATTTGAACTTGTTATCATTATCAACAGTGGTTTCCTTGCGGTAGTTATCTTTGAAAGATATGATAACCACAAGTAGTATTAAAAGAAATATATTTTTATTGCATTTTGAAAAAAAAATACACTTTATTAAATTACTAAATTAAAAAGAACTTTATATTTAGTAAGTAAGTTAGTTGTAAGCTGTAAATCTTTCTCAATAAAAAAATAAAAAAGGTCTAACAACGATGTGCAGAGTTGCATACTATCACTTATCATCAGATGAGCCTCCTGCCCGTTTCCCATCTATTACAAAAAAAACAGTGCCTAATTTATTATACACCTAAACCTTCCATATTAACCGTAGAAATATTTTTCATTATTTTTTGAGATAGAGTTCATACAGACAAACGAAGCTTGAGGACTTGTTCTTATAAGAGGATTTGAACTCCTTGGATTATAAGGGCGAAGCTTCACTACTGCGTTGCGTCGACGCAACGCCTTCGCAATGGACAGACACAAACGTGTTCTTTTTTTGATTTTATTACGCCACCGCCGAATTAAACTTAGAAACCATAGAAGTTTCTGGATATCTCCTCTAATAGCAGCAATAGTGATCACCTTCCCTCCTGCTTCGGCTCTTGTCCGTCTACCGATGAAACGTCGCGCGCGACGACGCAACGGTGTAATGGGGCATGTATAAAAAATAATATGAGAAACGTCGCATTGGCGACGCTCCGACGACGCAACGCAGCAGTGGGGCCTCGCCCTAACGCGAAATTACTTACGCTACTTTTAGAAATCTTAAATTTCATTCGTGTTTAGTTCCAAATTCATCCACGAAGCGCTGCTCAAGACTCGTACACAATTATGATTTTTTTTACACTCGCGAACCTTCTAGCAAAGTAAGTTTTACGCATTACTCAATATTAAATAATTAACTTAACAAATGAGTAAGTACCTACTAAATACTTCTTCTAGACTTCTACAATGAAATATTATTCAAATTTACTTTTTGACCGAACTTCGTCTTAAAAGCTATAATATTAAAAGAACTCTTTTAATAATAATTTATTTGCAAGAATATAGTAGGTACAAAAATGTTATGGTGGTACAATATAAAGTTCTGCCACACGTAGCGTGCAAATTGGTGTTAAAAGGAATTTTAGATTACGAGGCAATTCTTATATTATTTGTAGTAATAAATTATAATATTAAGTTATCTAAATTAAATAATTGGTTTCAAAATTATTTTATTAAGTCGATTTAAATAACTCTAGTAGTCTCTGGTTTTGTCTTACATATTTCATAATTGTTTGATTGTCTCCGTTTTAACGTGATGTTTGAGAATAATAAACGACAGTCTCATTATTCGGAAGTGATCCGTTATTCGCGTGGACATGTAAGTATTATTTATTAACATTCGTTGTATACAGAAATACAGGACAATTTAAATAAATAATATATTATAAAAAGGAGGTCAACTAGCGGCCTTATCGCTTCCGAGCGATCTCTTCTAGGCAACCACTTGCAACAAAAAAATAGATAACGTCAGCGCAAGAAGTGCAAAACTACATCTTCTAATATAATATAAAATTCTCGTGTCGGCTCGACCGATTCTTATGAATTTTTTTATGCATATTCAGTAAGTCTAAGAATCGGCTACTATCTATCTTTCAAACACCTAAGGGTGCTCCATCCCTAAATTTTTATTTTTTAGATAAAGTTTTTGTTTTTTTTTATGATACAGCATACAAAAATACATACCTTTAATGTTCACCCCTCTATGATCAACCCCTATTTTTTATTTGTTAATTAAAATCTTGAACTCTGAGGTTTATACAGAGAAAAAATCACAGAAAAACCTAAAAAGTTTTCATTCCAGAAAACCGAACAGTCTCCGGAGTAGCATAGCAAAATGTTCCATCTTGGTATGTACTAAAAAGGTAGGCTTAGTAAAATCACATTAAGGAGAAACGAAGTTAGCGGGGGCAGCTAGTAAGACATAAAATAATTATACACAGCCAATGGAACAAGCGATTAAAACATATGTAAACAGTGAAAAGCACAATAATAAAAAAAAACACAAGAATACATCGGTCGCTGAACGCACTAGGCCAACACTGCTCTGTGACTCTCATCCCTGAAGTCGTAGATTCGATCCCCGGCTTTGCAGCAATGGACTTTCTCACTATGTGCGCATTTAACACTCGCCTGTACAAAGAAAAGCATCGTGAGGAAGCCCGCTTGCCTTAGACCCAAAAAGAGTCGACGGCCTGTGTCAGGCACAGGTGGCTGATCACCTACTTGCCTATTAGACAAAAGATCATGAAACAAATACAGAAACGGCCCAGACCTAAAAAGGTTGTAGCGCCACTGATTTATTGTTATTCGAATACATAGGTGCATAGTGCCCCGGAAATATATGCAAGATTTTCACTCTATTGGTAACTTCGATTTCGCGTAGATGTCTCTGAACACTCAATGTAGAAGATGCAATAACTATTTATTACAATAATAAGGAAGACATGACCAACCTTCATTACTTTAATAATGAGGAAGAGTTTTTCCTAATACAATTATATTTTAAATAATAAACCAAGGTTTATTTAAACCAATTTGCCAATTTTATTACAATATAAGTTTTCGTATAAGTTTTTGCCGCGCACCACCACTATGTGGAACCAGCTGCCCATTGAAGTATTCCCGAACCAATTCGACTTAGGGTCCTTCAAGAAAAGAGCGTACCAATTCTTAAAAGGCCGGCAACGCACTCGCGAGCCCTCTGGCATTGAGAGTGTCCATGGGCGGCGGTATCACTTAACATCAGGTGAGCCTACTGCCCGTTTGCCCCCGTTCTATAAAAAAAAAAAAAAAGTAAATTTTAACTGTAATTATACATGTCAAACCTGGTCACTCACTGACAAACAAGAAAACAAACTAAGAGTATAAGTAATGTCAAAAAAATATCGAAAGGAGTGTTCTAGGTCTGAAAACGAAAGATAGAGTAAAACTAGAAGAAATAAAAGACATGACAAAGTTTAGAAACGCTGTTACTTCTAGTAAAAGACTTAAATGGAATGAACACATTATGAGATAAGACAAAGATAAATGGACGAAATGGCTTCATCGCTATGACAAAAGAAAACAATGAAGTCAAATAAAAAGATGGGAGGATGATACAAGTAGAGCAGCTGGCCCTCCACGTAAAGCTAGACACCGAGAAGAGTGGAAGCTCTTAGAGGCCTATGTCCAAGGACAAGTTTTAAAACAGAAATTAACCGGCTTGCCGATTAGTTCATATATGTTTATCTATGTAATCTGTTTTGGCTTTGTATAGTGTCTATGTGTTTTGTTTTATAATATGCATGTTAGCTGTAACATACTAATAAATAAATAAAATGTTTTCTATTCTATAACGTTGTTAGGTACCTAATGTTTTTTACCCCACTAGATGGCGCTATACGGTTAAAGTCCAGCATTTGACAAACTAGAATCACAACGCTATAATAATATAATTATTATGCGTAGACGGACTATGGTATAGACCAGGCATCAGCGTACAGCGTATGAGATAGCGAAGGACCGACATATGTCGTATTTACAGTTTTAATTCATTGAAGATTGCTTATTATTGACCAATATACACATTCGAATGAATAATTCTTGAACAAAGTTACTGAGTCGTGACAAAATAAGCTACTTACCGATGAAAGGTTATGTTTGGTTCTTTACGTTCACGATAGCTTTTACAGCCAATTATGCAACAATTCACCATGACTGACACTTTAAATACACCTCTTACAAGGATAAAGTCTTAAAATATTGGTTTGACTTGGGTTTCACAGATTTATCAGTAACCGGTGAAAACTTGTTTACCACCAAGGGCTCGGTGGTAAACAAATAAAACCCGATACGCAAATAGAGACAGAAAAACTGATACTCTGTTTCGCTCGCACTTCAGTATTTCACGTTAATGCCTTCTCTCTTATTATTGTTATTTTAGAAGCTCATCTAGTTCTATACTCTATCCACGTTATTGTGTCTCCGCTACGTTAGATTCGTATTGTATCTTCTTTCTCTTGTGATACACGGAAGACATACTTACGCAAACATATAATATACTATAGAACCAATACAATTTGTTATTTTTACTTCTGTTCGTATTGGCTTTCAAAATGAATAATTTAAAAACCCGCCAAAAAACTTCCTAGACAAGATGGCGCACCTACCATGCATAAACAAACGCCAAGTATTAACGTCATTCTCAAATTACACAAACACAATATATCTCGGTTAAAACATTGGTATTTATAATTAACTAATCGATTCAAAGAAACTTTTTAAATTGCAATCAATATTAGCTAATTACAAGTGATATTTGGGTTACTTGACTTTTGTGAGTTCAAAACATCGTGAGGAAACCGCCATGCCCTAGACACAAATATCAATGACCTCGAAAAGCAATTAAAGAAGCTTAAAAGGTACATTACTTACACTGCTTACTTTTACTATTTTTTTTTTTTTTTTTTGCGACTAAGGCACAAACTAGCTGCTGTGGTCTCTGGCATAATGACCAGCGCTGTGGAACATTCTGCTCCTCAGCATAATGCTGAGCCAGGGCCAATTACAGCCACAGCACACACGCATTACACACTTGAAACGAACCGAATGGGTTTTTTTTTATATCCCTCATTATAACTATACTTTATTTTTTTCTTTGATTATTTTTATTTTGTGTGTTTTTGTTAGTAATAAATGTTGTCTATGTCATTGTATGTGACAGGAGGCCATGGGCCCTAAACAAATTGTACGTTTTCTTGAAGGCCACTTAGATTTCCTAACGATTTCCTCACGATTGAACTCACAAAAGTTATTTCGGACCCAAATATCACTCGTAATTAGCTAACTTAATATTAATTGCAATTTCAAAAGCTTATTAGAATTAATTAGTTAATTAGTCAATGTAATACAAATTAGATTATTAAAGTTAAATTCACGTATTTTAAGAATAAGTTGATTATTAATTATAAAAATGGTTATCAGTTTGAGTCTGCTATTGTTGGAATTAGATGTTTGTAAGATGATCTATGGTCTATTGTAGGATGCTTCGTTTAAGCTGGATCCAGAAGGTCTCTTACGATAAGGTTCTAAAACGAGTTGGAACATCGAAACATTTAGCAGAGCATCTAACAACGGAAAGTTGCGTACCCGGTACCAACCACATGTTGCGCCATGACCGCTACCACCTCCTTCAATTAATTATAATGGGTAAAATCCAGGGTAAACGGCGTTGGTAGAAGAAAGAAATGGCTTCGCAACGTTAGGTAGTGTACAGGTATTGCGACTGCGGAAGAGTTGTTGGCTGCTGCATCTGGCACAGGATAAGACACGCTTCAAGATACTGACGGCCACCTCCAGTAATGGAGAGGCACTAAAAGAAGAAGAGATGATCTATTTTGGCACGTGTGATCATCATCATCATCATCATCAATACAGCCCCTTGTGGGCCTTAGTACAAAAGTATATTTTGCCATCGCAATCCGTTAAGTGCTTCTTGCGTCCAAATTCGAACGCGTATTGTTTCGAGGTCCATACCGTATCACAAATTTTACGAAAACTGTGACTTAAATGTTTCTTCAAAATCGATGTTGTAATTGGTGATATCCACTTATGTAAAAGATAATAATATTTTTTTTAATTCGGTGTGATTTATTTAAAATACCTTTTTAAAATGTGTTTTTGTGCTGTGTTGGTGGGCTTAATAACTAAAAGTAGATTTGAAACAAATGATTGAAAACTTGTCTTTTGTTTTGTTTTTTTTTATCTATTGCTGCACACTGAAAATAGAATAGGTAATCGTCGTTAGGTAAAACACAAAACTGCATTTGTTTTACTGCTGTAAGCTTCATTTAGTTTATCTACTGTGAGAAATTATAAAAAATATAAAACAAAGTTTACCATCGCATGATTATTGCATTAATTTTGATTCTGTTTCACCAGTGTTGGCCTCAGGCTTGAGCGACATCCCCAGCACCAACGGACTTCCTATGCGCGCATTTAACACTAGCTCTTATGAAGGAAAACATCGTGAGGAAACCAGCATTTCTTGGATCCTAAATGTCGACATGTGTAAAGTAGAGAAGGCTGATTTGACTAATTTTGGGATCGGAGTCAACTGGATATAACACAACGTTGAGACTTGAGAGTGATGACAACCAACTTGGAACCTAATTAACTACCTCTGAGCTAGCAACAAGCGCAAGGATCTCACTCAATTAATATAGAACAATCTTAATTAAAATTAATTGAAATATGAAGTTCAGTTTTTATACTTTGATTACTTACGGTGTTTCGTTAATTATTTGAGTGAACAATTTAATATTAAAAATCTTAACAAAGCAGTGTTGGCCCAGTGGCTTCAGCGTGCGACTCTCATGCCTGAGGTCGCAGGTTCGATCCCGGCTGTGCACCAATGAACTTTCTTTCTATGTGCGCATTTAACATTCGGTCGAACGGTGAAATATCGGCTTGCCTTAGACCCAAAAAGTCAACGGCGTGCGTCAGGCACAAGAGGCTGATTACATACTGATTCCGCCACTGATGATTTTTAATGTTACATAGGGCATAAGAATTCTACAAAAGCTTAGGCATGGCACAAAAAGGTTTAATCTCTCTCTCATCAGTCGGCAACCAATACCAGAGCGTCGTGGTCAACAAGAAAACATCTGGAGCCCACAATCTGTTTCCACCGATGTCTGACAGTGTTTTGAGGACTATGGGGACACTTGATTGGTCAATATGGTTGGTGTCTACCCACGATCAGTTTCTCCAAGTTCTCCTCTGCGCATTATATGATATAAACAGACCCCCATACACCCCGCGTCCCTTTAAAAACATGCCTCGGCGCGGTGGTCTATAAATTGATTACCTAACAATAAATTTTGCGTGTTGTTCCCACGAGAATGTAAGTGCGTGCTCCTATTTCACCATGCCTACTGCTGATGGAGGACAAATCTTTGTATTTAATTTATTTTATTATTATTAATTACTTAATCATGTGAAATATGGTGTAATGGTTGCAGCTCCTTACAAACATTGTGTAAAACAAAAAACTTGGCGATTAAAAAGAGTGGCGGAGAGTTTATTGCCAGTTCTTCTCTTCCGTTTTACGCCCTTGATTTGGCAGTAAATGAACATTTGAAGCACTTCATCTTAAGGCCCTATCCCAGCACGAATTGCTGCGTCAGTGTCTCTCGCTGGAGAGCTGGAGCACTGAGGCGCGCCGGCCCGTAATAACAATTAGTTATGTAAAACATTAAATTAATGTAATTCTATTAATTTTTTTCTGAAATGGATGACTTGGCTTGCGATAAAACATATCGTGTAAATTTCAAAATCATGTTCTATATACATTTTCGTCATATAAAGAATTCAAAGTGTCAAAAATTGACTGTTTGGTTTTTTTTTTCTATTGAGCGAAGTTATTTAAATCGAGTATCGATATTTCAAAATGGATACATAAACTACTCACCTCCACCATATATTTTTTCCATTCGCCCTGTATGAACTGTATGAAACAATGTACTTTTTTGGAGTTTGGCGACCGGATAGGTCCTTAATATCTATAAATTACGTGTCACATTGTTTGTCCGCTATGGACTCCTAAACTACCGAACCGATATCAATCAAATTTGCACACCGTGTGCAGTTTGATCTAGCTTAAAAGATAGGATAGCTTACATCTCAATTTATACCCGCAATATTATATTATTGCAAAATTTTTGTTTATTATTTGATAGTCACAATTCTAACAGGTGGCGCTGTGTTGAAAGTACCAACGTTTCACATAAGCTAAAATTTTTTGGCATAACCACCAAAGCATGGTGGTCGCAATGACTGGTGTTCTTCTACGGTTTCCCTTAAATAGTTTACTACTATGTAATAGTACCAAAACCTTGGCCACAGCAACGCTTGGCTGGTCTGCTAGTATATGTATATTTATTTTTTCGACGTTCATAAGTGTATATTTTGTTACATATATGAATAAATTATGTTTGAATTTGAATTAAAAAAAAAGGATCGATGTATTGGTGCGCTTCGCTTTAAATTCTCAATTTCAATAAATTACATATAAAAAGAATTACGTGCCTTATTTTTAATGATAGGAAAACGTGATATATTTAAAAACGTGACCTTTCATAAAATCGCTATTGCATTAATTAACACGACATGAAAGTTAGTTCATCAACATTCTTAGGTATTTTATAATTTTGTATTAATTTAATAAACGTGAAAATACTAACGCGTACAGAACATACGTATTTGTTACTTCCCAATTTTGCGTTTTACAAGTTTACATAATAAACATTTTGCTCACTCAGGCTTTCTTAGTTTTATAAGCGTGGTGATTTCCTTATCATCAGTAATCCGAGATAATTGGGGGATTGCAAATGCACATTGTTTCACTCGTCTAACAATATATAAAAAAAAATATTATAGGATATTGGCACAGCTGAACTGTCATTTTCATACAAAGATCTATCCACAGACACCGATCGGACCACACATGGATAGCTTGCTACGATCGCCAGATGGCTATTACAATCCGATTGGTTATTGGCACACTTGTTACAGTATTTGGATTAATATTTCTATCGCAGATGGTGGATTATGGATTGAGATAGGTTATTGGGTTCGGGCGTAAATCGTCAGAGTTTCGCCCCGAGGTTATAGCCCGATGTAGGCACTCTCTTCAACAGTTACATTGCATTCATTCGCTATATAGCGATTAAGATTTCATTATTTTGCTTATACTTATTCTATTGTTGTACGCGAATGGTTAACAATAAAATCCTCGATTATTTAATGCACCCCGATGACCTTGGAACCGTTCAAGGAACAATTCCCTTAGTTACATTATCCTTACTTCGTGGATAGAAAATATTCAGCATTGTAGAGAATATTATATATATCTTCAATCTAATCTATCAATAAACCAAAGAACAAAAAACGAATCAACCATAAATGGATAACAAATTTCTGTTACATCGTAATCAAGGATTATTATCAATTCAGAAGTTAAATTTTTACACGACTTTCTATTTCGATTATATATATTTAAAAAAGAATTCAGTATTTTATACAAAAATGCAGAAAATATCAAGAGAATGTTGAATATGACAGTCGTGGAAAGTGCAACATTGCGTCAATAGATGGCGCTGTTATCACATTGTGTTTATTAACGTGATCTGAGAGTTCAACGCTTTGTTTTTTATTATTTCGCTACGAAACGTACGAACGCATCTGTAGCCATAGACAACGGTCCCCCAGATTACACTACCACGTAAATGGCTATTAACTAAATAAAATCTGTTACATATTTTACTTATAATCAATGAATGGTGGTTACATTTTTATAATCAAGGTAAAGCGTGGGAGAGTATTTAGACCATAAGTGTTGACAACTATCAAAAATAAATTAACAGCTGTTCTTATTATGACATCGTGATAATATGACATTTGCAAATAAACGATTTACTTAAGAATTATCTAATAAATGTAAAGAATTATAGTGAGTTATTTATATTAAATAACATAAAACATTCGCTCTTCTATTCTCAATATAGGTTTTATTTAACTTTTCTAATGCGGAAATCAAAGATAATAAATATTACATATTATCTTTGAAGATTATTTCACAATAAAGCATCTCTACCACGGTGTTACAATACAATTCTATAATGATTTTATGCCTTTATTTTGATTATTATCTAATTAATGTGTCAATTATCGACATTCATTTGACGTTACACTTGTTAATAAATAATATATAAACAATTATTGATTGTGTTCAATACAAGTATGTCAAAGGTTCTGTATCCCTAGAATATCTGCCTTTTGATATCGAATTAAATTATTTTGTGTAGTTTAAAAGATCTAAATGTACATACATATGTTTCGTTTCATTATCTAAAGATATCAGAAATATGGAGAGAAATTTTGGCGCCAAATTTAGTATTTTGTGTACGTTTACGTTTCGTGTTCGCTATTATTATTAAAATACTATCGTCTACGGTCTGTTTTTTCTGTAATGATATCAATTTATATTAAATAAAATAATTCACAAAGGTAAAAAATGCATAATACTTAATGTATTTTTCCTGTTTTTATTGCGTATTAAACCACTTAATTTTCATTTGTTTTAAAGTTACATAAAATGTTTTTATATTTAATAATATGTGGTTGCCCTGCTGCCTAGAGTAACGGTCTATTGTGTTTCTATTTGTACGTTAACAGCGGTAAAGGAGTTAAAATGTCTCTTGTAGTTCTAATAGTCCAATCATTCAATTTACAATGTGCGTAGATGTAATGAGGTCGCTTTAATAGCGTTGCATAAGTGGGGTGCATCTGCTTGACATTTGAATTGACCCAAAATCCGAATAGAAACTGTGTCATGTAGCCGGCAAGCGAAGCGGGCCCTTGTCGGCGCGGCGAGGTGCGTTGTGCAATCCCGTTAACGCTCCTCTACTACACGTGCGAACGAAACCGGCGCGATCGTTCGTGGGCGGCTTTCCGCTGAAAATAGCGAGGAGGCCCGAACAAACGCCGGGCCGACACCGACAATGCCCGAGCGTGAGTTTACTCACTCCCTTCCACCCGCGCACGCATCGAAGCGCCGTCACCCTCACACAAACAGCTGAGTATCAAAACAAAGAAGCGAGACGGGCGGTCGCCGCTCCCGCTCGCCGGCCGGCCGGCCTCGCCGACATGCCAGTTCTCGTTTGAACCGTGACTATCGTGGTTGTCTGTGGCGAGCTTCACAAAGTTTACAACCGCGAAAGGATTTTCCTTTGTCCCGATCCACACGGATCCTGTCGTATTATGAGTCCGCGCGAGAGCTGCGAACAATCTCGGCGTATTGTGGTGCCGAAGCGTGTACGTTCTATATCGCGTCGAAGTTCTCGTAACTTACCAAAATTCTGTGACGGTTACCCAGCGAAACGCGTGCGCCGGGCGATTTGAAATACTTGAGTGTTGTGTGCGAGGACGATCCGAGAGACGTTGTGCTACCTGTGTTGTTTTTAACTTTTGTAACAATGTCGACCGGCAAGCGTCTTGCGAAGCGCTCTATCATCGGCACGCGTGTTGCGGCGCTGGGTGATGAGGGACTGTACTATTCAGGGATGATTCAGGCAGTGAAAACGCCGGCACCGTTTCCGGAGAATAATAACTGTATTAACTTGACTCCTAATACTCGATACACTGTGCGGTTTGACGGCGGTAAGCTGACCAGGGAATATAGAGACGCTGAGCTGATCGGGCCCGGTTTCCGGGGCCTAACCGGAGTGCGTTTGAAGGCCGGTCAGCGCGTTTTCCTCACGTACAATGGGCGCGAGGTGCGCGCTGACGTGCTGGAACACGACCACGACTCTGATGAACTGCGCGTCCAGGTGCATTCACCTTCAGCAGAGGTAAGTGTTGTATGTTGGAGAGAGTTTATTACTAGAAATACACGAAGCAAATAAGGCTTTACCGGCCGTTTTCCTCGAAGAAAAGACATCAACGGCACCGCGGTATTCAATTAATTCATGACTCTGTCATGTTGACACTTGTAGACAAAGGTTTCAGCGGGGGAGGAGTAATGACCTCGCTTGCACGTGGAGATACATGCATCTACGTGCAGGACCCGTGACGTCATTGCCTAATTTTCATACATAACGAACTTCGTTTACTGGGGAAATAAGGTTTTCAGAAGTTGATCGAAAGTGAAACTATTAAACAAAGGATGCAATTGATAACAATCGTTCACTATCACTATTCATAGACACAGATGAACAACAAGGCTTAGACCTCATGCTCTCCTTTATAAGATTACTAGAATATCTTCTGCTGATAGAGGACAAATCTTTGTTTTTAATTTATTTTATTATTATTTATTATTTAAGATGTCACGTGGAACATGGTGTGATGGTTGCAGCTCTTTACAAACGTTGTGTATAACAATAAACTTGGTGATTAAAAGAGTGGCGGAGAGTTTATTGCCCGTTCTTTTTTTCCGTTGGTGTAGGATGAATAAATGATTTTTGACTATGATATAAAAATACATATTTTTACGTTTATGTATTTAATTGTATGACAATAGGTTTACATATGTATTTATAAAACCTTGCCAACTGATATGGGTACTTGAGAAAAATAAGAAAAAAGATTTAATGTACAAACACGAAGAGGTAAAAAACAATTGAACCATAAAGGAAAATTGATTTCAAAATGTGAGGGGAGCAAATTTGGATATCCAGACCGCTCAGTCTGGACATCTGAGTTGGTTCTTCTGAAAGGAGAGAAAAATAGGATGATGCCTGGGGTCTCTAGAGGGTACACGAAATTTAAATCTACATAAAAGTAAACGTTTTTAAATGTGTGTGACGTTGGACCGAAAGCCTTCTTCTTTTGCGTCATTATAAGATGGTAAAAGAAGAAATATTGTGGCATAATCTGTGCGGTTTTACATTACGCGTTGATTTGCCAACCAAGAAAAGCTAGTGTTTAGTTGCAGGACAATACTGATTACGCTATAACTACGATACACTACACACATACATTAGAATTAATCTAATACACAATTTCTTAGAATTAAGAATACGCATATATAAGATAGCACAGACCTTGGAAGTAACAGATTGTATGCTTTTCCCAAAGCAATATGACCCGATTTTAGGAATCACTTGCACTGAATTATTAAGGATACGCAAAGGATAGATTGTGGACTCACGAAAACGATATATCAATTAATTTTATACGTTTCTCCAATGATTATATGAAAGAAAACTTCTGTGGTCTAGTTTTCTATCTAGTACGTGAAAATTGAATCTATAGATTCATAAATACAATTTCATATACGTCTTTAAATATTTTGTAATCTTTGAGCTTATTTCTAAGCTTCTAGCATTCTAAATGTGTACTTCTGGTTTTTAAGATGACAAAAGTGGGTAGTGTTGGCCTAGTGGCTTCAGCGTGTGACTTTCATCCCTGAGGTCGTAGGTTCGATCCCCGGCTGTGCACCAATGGACTTTCTTTTTATGTGCGCATTTAACATCCGCTCGAACGGTAAAGGAAAACTTCGTGAGGAAACCGGCTTGCCTTACACCCAAAAAGTCGACGGCTTGTGTCAAGTACAGGCCGATCACCTACTTGCCTATTTAATTGACAAATGATCATGAAACAGGTACAGAAATCTGAGGCCCAGATCTAAAAAAAGGTTGTTCCACTGATTTAATACAAATGTAACACCTTGTATATAGAACATACTAGATTCTGCGTACTTTTACTTACTAGTTGCGCAGTAACCGGTAATCTAGTACTGATTGATGCAACCACATCGTTACCATTACGTGTCCGTTAGATTTTATTGTTCACTATGCGGGATTAATAATAATAATAAAAAATGCGTGCGTACAAAGTACACGTCAGAAGTGAAACTTCTTTGGCAAACAAATTTTTAAGTCTGGTTTATATTTACACAAATCTAAAACTTTAGATTTCCGAGACTTAGAGGGAGGCAAAAAGGAAGATATGTTAGGAATTTAATGAATTTAATTGTCATTAAAGTATTATGTATCAAAAATTAATACGAATTATAAATTTAATTGTTTAAATTTATTTCTTCGATAATTAAAACACGTGGTACACCATGAGTGTTAGATGATATAGTCCACTGGTGCAGACCTCAAGCGATGAGAGATGCTGAAGCCACCAGACTTTGCTTATTAGCTTGCGTTCCTAAACAATTTAATTCACATTATCTTTATTTTAAAGGCACACGAACGAAACATACAAATTTACAGAGAACACACGCGATACTAAAACACAATACACGCATGTGCAATGACAAGTTTGCACTACAAAACTAAAATTGTTTATTTCGGAAAACAAGGTTCCATAACTATGTTAGTTATTACAACTTTATAACTTAAATCTTAAAGGGAAACATTGTAATGATAAAAGAGAAAAGAAATCTAATATATAAAATTCTCGTGTCACAGTTTTCGTTGCCATACTCCTCCAAAACGGCTCGACCGATTCTCATGAAATTTTGTGTGCATATTGGGTATGTCTGAGAATGGGACAGCATCTATTTTTCATCCCCCTAAATGTTAAGGGTAGTCCACCCCTAAATATTTTTTTATTATTTTTAGATATTTTTTTCTGTATTTATTTTTTTATGATACAGCATTAAAAAATACATACAAACCCCTAACTTTCACCCCTCTACGATCAACCCCTATTTTTTTATTATAAATGATATATATGGCAAAACGACGTTTGCCCGGTCAGCTAGTTATACAATAAAACTAGATTGAGAAATACATATATGCAAATTAAAAATTTATATATTTCTATTTTGCAATTATTATTATTGGTGACGGATCAACAGTAGCATTACCTTATTTTCGATTGATTAGCGCGAGTGAGAAACTCTTTGAATTGGATTTGTATTATTATCGTGGTGAATAAAATGTACAAGTTATGTTTAATTACTTTTCGATACGTGAAGAGTTATCGCTATTTCGTTACACGTGTGAACTGGTGTATCTAATCGGTAGTACTGCATTGGCTTAGATAAGTGTTGAATGGGGGAAGCCATCACAAACAGATGGGAAATAGAGCGAAGGTACCACAGCAATCGCTTGTTAATGGATGCTAAAGTCTTCCAGAAGTCTTATCTGGGGTCACTAATGGAGAGAAGGTGCTCCTGCCTTGAACTGTATAACAGACTGGCCTGTTACAACTTACAGCGTTTGTAGCTGTCGAATAACGGAAGGAAGAAAATAATTTCTTTAAGTCTTCCTAATTCTTAATGTTTATGAATCTAGAAATATATTTATAAGTGTCAAACAGGTGTTTTTATATAACATACATTAAAAAAAAATTAAAAAAAAATCAGTGACGCTAAATTTTAGGTCTGGGCCTCAGACTTCTGTATCTGTTTTATAATCATTCATCAATCTAATAGGCAAGTTGGATCAGCCTCCTGTGTGACTGTTGACTTTTTGGGTCTATGGTAAGCCGGTTTCCTGACGATGTTTTCCTTCACCGAGCGAATGTTAAATGCGCACATAGAAAGTCCAGTGGTGCACAGCCGAACGAACCCACGACATCAGGGATGAGATTCGCATGCTGAAGCCACTAGGCCAACACTGCGCATTATATACATTTTTTACTTATGATTGGACAATTCACACCAATTGACCTAGTCCCATGCTAAGCTGGTGAAGCTTGTGTTATGGGTAGGCAACGGATATACTTACATAATATTAGAGATAGACATATTAATACATATTTAAACACCCAAGACCAAAGCACAACACCAAATGCTCATCACATCTATGTTTGTCTCAGCCGGGGATCGAACCCGGGACCCATGGATTCGCAGTCAGGGGTACTAACCACTAGACCAATGAGCCGTCCATATTACATACATTACTTTACAATTAATTTGTTATATAAGCTTTGGTTTTTCTACAAATCCTTTTGTGAGTTGAGTTAGCTAAAAGTATATACCATTATGATGATCATTTACTTTCTTCATATGACGCGTAATTGCATGTCAGCCATCGGCAAACGTCACGTCCACCTGGAGAAATTGAAATTCCATATGTGCGTATGCGCACATCGTAACGGTGAGCGACCTAATTGTTGTGTATTTGGAGCTACTAATTTCGATCTTGACACTTTATTACAGATAAATATCGAGATCAAGGAATATCAAAATTAATTTTTTAATTATGATTTCTGGCCTTTAAAAAACAAGTGTTGGCCTTTAACAATATATGCGGTTACATGACACTTTACATTCCGTATTTATTACAGACCTTACAGCTTTAAGTCCGCTAATAATATAGGAAACATTTCATAATGAATTTCACAGTTCAATGACCGTCATTATCATATTGTTTATTCCTAAATCCCATGAGGAAATATGACTTGGTATTCCCCATTTCTGATTAGTAGCTTCAGTAAATCAAGCACACATATGTGATTCATACATATACAAGTTATGTATAAGGCAAATCAAGGTACAAGAGACCTTTTCGTACTTCCGCAATCTCATTTAGAGCAATTATCGCTTTAAAATTCGATTTTTAAATCTTGTTCTCACATACGAAAGCAGAAAAAAATCGGCTTTAAAAAATGTTCGAATTTTAAATTTTATCTTACAAACGAAAGCAACGGAAATGATAGGTTTAATGAGTTCGATTTTCAAATCTCGTCTTTACAGCCAACGAAAACAGAAATCAGTTTTAAAAATGTTCGAATTTTAAATTTTGTCTTACATACGAAAGCAGCGGAAATGATAGGTTTAAAAAGTTCGAAATTAAAATCTCGTTCTTAACGTACGAGCGAAATAAGGTCAGTGACAAGCCCGGAACAGTGTAACGGTATGCGTTACAAAATCGCGTCAAGAATTATTTTCACGTGCGCGCGGCGCCGCGGCCATCCGGACCGTTACTCGGTGGCACACAAC